ATCGAGATTGCTCACAAGGTTGCTATGTGCAGCAGAATTGGCGAGAATATGCTCTGCACATTCCTGTCTATGCCGCGGAGGAGTTCTCTGAGCGTGCAGAGGACCTCGTCAATGACACTACGCACTATGCTCACCAATGACCCCTACCATGACCTCAAGCGTCGGTATAAGGCTGTCGCAGATTGTATCCCATGCGATTTTCCACATCGTGCAGTGATCGACAAATATGTCCATCCTCCAACATCTTTTTCAGCCGCGGAGAATGGGCTACTGGACGTGTCGTCCTCACCAGCCACATCTTGCAGACCTTGCAGACTTCTGCAGGCTGCAGTTGGGCTGGGACGATGATGCCATCATTGACAAGATGCACGGGAGTGTGTGGGAGGGTTGCATGTCTCCGCACCATATGCAAGGTAGGCGGCACATGTGGGTTCAATTTTTATAGACTCTACACTCATGTTTTAGTTGCCCCGTCAGCATGCGGACCACACAGACCGCCGGCCGGTGTTCAAAATAATTGCTCGTGGAACGTTGATGGCATTGCGGCATGATATCGCTATTTATAATATCAAAGTCGATGGTTGGTGGTTGGCACACAACACCCTAGGCAACTCAGCTCAAGGGGAAATTCTCTCCCTCGTACATGCGTCTTCCGGCAAACAATACTGGATCATATGGCTCCCCAAGTAGTGCAGCAGTATATTAGTGCCTAGTGCAATCAAATTGGTCGTCTCCTAATCTAAATAGTGTGAAATGTGAAATGTGAAATTGTCATTAACTAGTTAGAGGCCCCTGACAATGATCTCCGTCCCGAAATTTTGAACTACCTTTGTGCCACACTCACTCGTTCGTGTTCACAAAGTATGGCACGACTCAAGAAGGATTCCACGAAAGCCCCCCAGCTGCCAGACACTGCTCTAGAAGAAAGCTGGGGCGAAAGACGAGATCAGCTTGCTGCGAAGACAGCTTTAGCAGACGTCCAAAAGTGTAAGGAACATGGAATAAAAACTCACCTTCAGGCAAATAACACAAGGACGAAACTATGCCGGGCATGTTCGGCGTGGACGGGAATGGTTGGCAAGCCATTTCGAAACCCCGAGCTGTTCTGCTGTCAGCGAGACTTGGAGGGGTGACACGTCTGAAAACTCACTCGTTCTGTTGCCTGCAACTGCCGAAATACATGCCGACAATGACGTGTATGAGGACCCGGCCTTCAAATATGCATTTGAGAGCATCCCGAACAGATGCTCTGACAAAGCACTGGCGCTCTTCATGTCCCTGAAAGGGTTTCCACGAGAACCTCAGCAAAACTACTGTCGAGAGCATCCGTTCGGCATTTAAGAAGCTGTGGGAGCTATCGTGAGTATTATCATACACAAATTAGAGCATACGAGCACTGACTTACATTTTAGAGATGGTGATACCTATCGTGGCAAATGGCACTTCAATGAGGCGAAGCAGCGCTGGGAAGGAAACCCTGCTGATTCTGCAGACATTTATGATGTGCTGTCATCCATCAAGCATAAGGCAAGTGCCGAGGGAGGAGATCGCACTCACTCAATGGCAATGACGAAGGACTACATGGATCGGGCATTCCGATGGCACCAGGCTGTGTGTCCACTCGAGATTGCACTACAGATGATTCAGAAGGTGATGAGTGGTGCTCGGCCTTCGGATATGCACCTGGACTTGGAAATGAGGACAAAACTTACTCGCCATCTTGAACAAGTCACGTTCGCATCGAACGGATGGACGTTATGGACAAGGTGAGATCTGATTAGCTTTTCCGCAGCACGTGCGCGATCTAACTTGCCCGCAGGTGTTTTGAGCTTGTAAAGTTGCAAAGAAAGGATATCTCACTTGATACCACTATTTTGGATGGGGTGCTCGGCGTGTACCTTGCAAACGAGACACTCACGCTGAGTAAATGCACATCATACTTCGAGATCTTTCTCGCTCACCGGAAAGGATGGCAAAAGAAGGTGGACAAGGGCCAATGGGAAGCAGATCTGAGATGTGAGTTGCTCACATTAAATCGAAGCCGGATGACTAAATGACCTCACCACTGGCAGCAAATCACTACAAGATTTATCCACGCCCCAACATGCCAGCCTGCGACAATTTCTTCTGGATGTTAGTTTGGATCAAGTGGCTTGAATCATTTCACTACGGGCGAACTCTCCAGCCGAACGACTTCATTTTTCCTGCGATGAGTGCAAATGGTGTTGTGCATCCTGGACAGCCAATCTCTCACGATACGGTACAAAAATGGATCAATGAGTCAACCGCTGGCGCTGGCATCCGTGGTAACTTCTCAACTCACTGCTTTCGTCGGGGAGGTGCGCAATATTGGTTCATGTTTGCTCCAGTGGGCCAGCGGTGGACACTCGCTAAAGTTCGTTGGTGGGGGGGATGGGCTGATGGCGAGCAGGTATGTCTCATGTTCTTATGACTGACACTTGACTGATGCAGCATTTTTTTCTCATTGTGTCTATTTTCAGCGTGATACACTCGTTCGCTACCTCCTCGACGAACTACATGCATATGAGACTGACTACAGTGATGCCCTTGCCCCCATCTCCCGCGGTGCTGATGCCTCCCTTGCTGGCGAACATGCTCTCGCCAGACCAGCATCGACAGAAGAGCTTCGCATGGTGCACGCATCCGTTTCAGCAGATGTCAACTCCCTTCGCAATGACATGCGCTCCCTAACGAGTGTTGTAGCACAGGCTGCCTGCACCACAGTAATCGCTCTCCAGCGTCTCGATTCAGGCCCCCCGCTTCACCAACGTCTCTGAGTGTGCCTCCCGCACACCAACTCCACCTGTCAGAGACATATGTGCGAGAGCCGAACAGCCGGTTTTACCCAGGCCCGTCGTCAGCCACACTCTCCCTACCACCGAGCCATCCATCCGCACCTCGTCACAACAACTCTGCACCACGCTGCCCATCAGCATCACTCGGGCTTCAAGTACCCAGAAACTCCCAACACCTGGCCTTGTGATCCCTCGGGTCCCAGTCTCTCGTCCCAACGGAACCACCAGCCCGAAGCACAACTCCTGGAAGGAGATTGTCGAACACTGGCTTGTTGGCGATCGAGACCGAGGACTGACAACGCCACTGAAGGACTGGCCAAGGCACTGGTACCAAGGTGCAAATAGACGGTTTGCATCAAAGTACCACCAACGTGCAACAATCGCGCTAGAGTTCATTAATCAGTAAGTCCCTGCGCTGGTATCTACACTGCCGGCACTGCTAACCCTCTGTTTCGGCTCCAGGTACGAGTCGAACGAGGCACGCTTCCTCGCAGCCTATCCAGAGGCCGAGCTAGGGCACACGCAACTTCTGAAGGCTGTGAACAAGGCACGCGCTGCACGAGGGGACCGTATCTCTCGCAACAAGTGATACCGGTCCCGTTTTTACTACATACTATCATTGCCTTTCAGTGCTTTCACTGCTTCGCTACGATGTTTCACTGCTTTGGCTGACTCTGTACATTCCACACTCACTGCCTACTACTTAGTAGCATACTACTGATACTCTACCTTACCACTCGCCGTCGCTAATCATGCCCGCACCCCACTCGCGTTTGTTCCGTCCTGCCAGCGCATTTGTTGAAACGCTCTGTTTTTTTCAACCAAAACTCACGCCTGTCACACAAACTGGTCATGTGCCAGCGAGGTCAGCGAATCCCGCCTCGAAAAGGGAATTGATCGTGGTCACGTGCTCTCGCTTGGTGTTTTGGCTGAGCGCCACCGTAAATTTCTCGACATAAGTTCCACACATGGCGACAATTTGAATTATCGATGTACTTGAATCTTGTTGACCCTAAGTAGGACATGTATGAGGAGGTTGTTTGAAAGCGAGGGAACCCACCTGCAGCTGGGAACTAGACTCGTGACCAGTCCTTACCTATGAGGCAAGCCGTCGATAGATGGACTGGTAAAACTGGCTTTGAATTTGGAGGTCGCAGGATAACGTGACCTTTAGCGAATGAAACAAACCAGGTTTTTTAAGCTGTAGCATAGAATACAAAATAAACAATATAATTTTCACTATTGACGCGACGCGACCTGCACTTGCAAAATCAATGGACTAATCCTCCATCATCCAAGCCTTTCGTGATGCTTCCCTCACCGTTTGAGCAGCACGATGAAGAATAGAGTTGAGGACTAGGTAAGGACTGGTCACGAGTCTGGCTGGGAACACCTATATATAGTGTTGCTGTCGAACTGAAGTGACCTCGAGGTAATTTGGGTTCGGTTCGAAACTGAGGCAGTTCGATACAACTCGATTCGTTTACGCCTCGTTGTAGATAAGCATCGAATTAGGAACGAAATGCTAAATCTGGCCTGTGACTTGGTGGTTTGTTAGAGTAGTACTCCAGCAACCTCACATCTCTAGCATTTCCTCAATGTATTCTGCTCCTCCGTTTCCCGTCCTCGAACCTTTTGGTCTAGAACGTAATTATACGTATTTTCATCGGACCGCAGTACTGCTTTAGCGCCAGAGGACAGGCGCCTGCAATGCTGTACAATACAAATGTTGAGCAATCCTCAAGCGTGGTTAGGCGACCGGTGTCTAGGTCATCGTATAAATTCGTGCGTCGTACTGTGAGTTTAGTATTATATTCACCAACATGAGTTTTCACCAGTGGGACAGTTCTGCAGCTTCTGCTACTAGTATCCCTTCGGCATCTGAGCAACAGCATCAGCATCATCACTCTCACCCAGGCAGCCTATGTCTGCCATGGTCCGCCGCTCATGCACGTCCACCATTTTACCCTCACATGCCATATGGGCTCCCAAACAACACTCCTGCATCTCCACAGTCACATTCAATGTGGGCGAGCGCGTGACTGATCTCGTTCGCTTCTGGGAGGTGAGCTCGACTTTTCCTTCACATAAGGAAGGCGCTGAAGTCGATTTCAGCGCATGGAAAAAGTCTATCCACTACTTTTCTGCGTTGCTATGGATGTCCTGCCAGCTCAAGCATCCTCTGTGCCGTGCGAACGTGTATTTTCATTCAGCAAAGAAACATGCACACTCCGTCGAAGCAGACTCTCACCACGAATAATAGAAGCACTCCAGATTCTCAAGTTTTCTTACAGACAGGAGAGACTATGTTTCACTAGGGATTTGATTGCAAAAGAGGATGACTATCGGATTTCGGGGCCTGTGACACGAAGGGCTGCAGAGGAATTGATAGTTACGGGGAAGTTCGACGAGCTTGCTGATCTATTACAAAATGTCGACGATGATAACGTAGAATGAAACATAGCCACTTCATATCTACTTCATTTTACAAACACTTCTCATTGGCTGGAGCTTCGAGCCGTATTCGTTACACTTCGGTTCGTTTCACCTCGACCCATCGAACCTAGAACGAACTCCCACCTCGTTTCGATTGGGTTCAGTTCGCGGCAACACTATAGCCTATATAGTAGTTGAGTTTGCTCAATCACGTGAAGGGACGGTTCAGGTCATTCAGACAGTTCCAAAGAGTTTCAATCTTTACTTTCAGCTTTATCAAGATCTGTTACAAACTACGCTCATTTCAATACAACACTCAAAGTCAAACGGTCAAGGCGGTTATATTTAAATACGCGCTAAGGCAGAAAGAAGATGGTTGTGCATGCGCTTTCGCGTGATGCTTAGTTCTTGCAGGTGCAGCTACCGACCAGGCAGTTGCAGCTTTTGACAGACATTCAGAACCCTGTCATTGAAACGTAGTGCATGAAAAGACTCACGTGGAGGTGCAGTTGCATTGCTCAGTGTTGTAGGACAGCATGATGATGATGTTATGTGCGATTGTGCTGCAAGGATGTGTTCAGTCGCAGAATGGTTCGTGGATGCTTCAGACAACCTACTAGTTGCGAGTAGAGAGGATTGCTGGAGGAAAAGCCTGGCAAAGGGGCCATTTTATATTGCTCACTATTGGAGCCGTGAGTAGATAAGACAATGGCTGCGGTATTTGATTGTCTCCAATAGTAATCTCAGGGTGTCAGCGCCACACAGAAAAGATCAGCTTCTGCTCCAGTGTGATGCTCAGAAAGGTTAGAACGCCACACCAGAAAGATCATTAATAAACCCCTGTTTAGGCTCCTTGGCCGTGAATCTTCCTGTGCCAGAGGAGGCAGCGCACGTGTGTGGGGATAAGGAACACCCGACGGATAAAGAATCTTGAAGTGCATGTTCAATGTTGATTGTGACAAGAGTGAACTTTTGTGCTGATATTTGCCAGGGGGCCACTGGGCGACTTTTGAACTTTGGGACGACGGACACACCAAGGTCATTAACAGTGGTCTTGGATGCAAGGGCCAACAAACCAACTATATATTGGATCAAGCTATGCAACCGCACGTGCCACATTGTTAGAAATCAATGCCTGACTGTCAGACAGGGTCATAGGGGTCCTGGGATAATAAGGCTTATAAGCACGTCATCTAGACGAAAGAACTGAACGTAACTACCATAGCGATAAAGGCGCATCTCAGGGTGAACCAATCTCTGGTTGCACTACCCCTGTGATTTCTTGCATCCTTGCATCCTTAACAAGTGCACTCAAGCATTGCTTGGCAGCTTATCTTTACGCGCCTATCTTGAAACCCACCGTGTGTGATATCAGTAACCCAAAATGTTTGGAGCGTCGACGAGAACAGCAATAAGTAGTAGATAAGACGAGTCTAGGTAAGTAGGGCGCACATCAAACCTTCCCCATGCGCGCCGGGGATTTCCTCAGGCTTGTTTCTGAGGGAAAGGGGGGTCCTCGAGGGAACCAGGAGGTCCTCAGCCGAGAATCATCTCGGACCAGATGACATCTCAGATTAAGTATACGACTTGTAAAAAGGTGTTTGTGGCTTGACCTCGTGGGGTACGGTTATAATGCTAACAAGGGGAGAGCGTGAGTCAGCTGAGCAGCTGAATTTGGTTGGATTAGGCTGAATGGCTCGTCAATGGCTCGTCGCTGGCGCGAGGACTTGACGAAGCAGTGCGGGCGCGTTTTGCGAGGGGAACTTCGCCAGCAGAGTGTCGATTGTTCGTCCAATATTTGAATATACAGCTGGTTCTTGGTTGTTGACGAGCCATATTGCTATATAGTAGAAGGAGGAACGACTACTCTATAGGTCTGGTAGCTAAAAGACAAGTACTAGCAGTACTTTGCTCGACCGAGGCAGACGTTATTGCCTCCGATAGACAAAGCACAGGATTCCCAAATTGGGGATGACTAGTTGCAAGTTCCCATCATTCTTCTTGCTAATCATCATGACAGCTTTCTCGGAGTCCTGGCTGGTTGGTCCACAGCGCACGCAATTCTACACTCGCACTTACTGCCCAGCTTCCACCGCAAAAGCTGTTGTAGTTTTCGTGCACGGGTTCATCGAGCACATCAGCTCGGTACGAGCATGTATTTCCTGCTTGGTCCGCGCGCGACATAGCCGTCTTTGCGTATGACCAGCGCGGCTTTGGGAGGACGGCCTTAGACTCGGAGATGAAGAGCAAAGATAGTTCATATGCGAAGACGAGCTGGAAGGAACAACTTGAAGATATTGAGTGGGCTATCAACCATGCGAAGAGCGAATTCGGTTCCGTTCCCGTGTTTCTGTATGGGCATTCAATGGTATGCATCATATGTTTTACTTGAATATCGAACCTTAAGATGTACATTTATGCCCCTAGGGTGGAGCATTGGTACTTGCGTTTCCTACCTAGGGCAAACGCTCCGCCTGCAAAGGAAACAATAACAGGCCTCGCAGGCGTGATTGCCACTGCCTCCCTCATCCTTCAAACGAAGCCAGCTGCTAAAGCAGCGAGATGGATAGGTGGCAAGGCTAGTTTGCTAGCGCCTTCACTCACCATTCCGGCGGAAGTCAAGGGTCAGGTACCCACAACTTTGTCTCCTTACTGATATGTACGGCTAACCATAGCATCATAGGATTTGTCGCATGACGGGGCTGTCGGTGATGCATATTCGAAAGACCCGATGGTTAAACAAGTTGGGTCGCTTCGCGGTGTAAGTGACATGTTAGACGGGGTAAATAATCAACTTGTTCTTCTGGTCGACGTTTCACCTCTAGTTTTTAGGGCGAGCACCTCTTACGCACTGACTACACTCGTTGGCCCACAGACCTCCCTGTAAGTTATTTCAGCCGACCCCCCTTCTGTACGATTCACGAATAATGTCAGGTTCTCTTCATACATGGTTCGGATGACAAGGTTCGCGTCCTTTAGAACACATCTTCCGAGGCAGCTCTGACGTCTCGCAGGTAACATCTGTCAAAGCCTCTGAGCTACTTCATCAACGACTACCAGCGAAGGATAAGAAGATATCCATTTACCAAGTGAAGCGATCGCGATGTTATTTCTACGAACCACAACCTTATGTTCCTACAGGGCGGCTATCATGAACTTCACAATGAACCAGACGGCGTGAAGGAGAAGCTTATTGAGGAGTGTATCACCTGGGTGGAGGCGCACCTGTCTCCCAACATTTCCCCTAAGCTCTGAGGATACAGGCTTTTACTACTTACCATTTTGCTTACGTTCGTGCACTCGTGGTCTTTTAGGAGAAAATAAAAGTCCAGATATTAAAACAAGAGGTATACACATGTAAAACACGTAATGTTTAATAACCAGCTGCACCGGGAGCTGCAGTTCCCTCGCGCTTCAAACGCAACAGCACTTCTTTGAACCGTGAAAGGTCGGTGGTGCCAGGACCAGCCCTTGCAATTGTTTTGCTCTGGGAATTTTGCAACTCGACAATGTCACAAATACGCTCCCAAGTCGTCCCTTTGGTAAGGGATGAAGATAGTGACTCGAGGAAGTCTCCTTCTTCGTCCCTTTGAGAAATTCATCAGTAGGACCCATTAGTTGTGCAAGGCTTGACTAACTTGTTTTCGCGAATAGTTCGCTCCTTCTTTGCAGCGTATTCCTCATAGAACTGGTCAATGGCATGTTCAGCCTTCGCAATAGTTTGTTGGCGTTTAGCCTTGCTGGCCTCATCGCGAGCTTGGATCTCCTCTACTCGTTTCTCGCGCCATTGCCTTTGGTAGATAATTGTCAGCGGTAAACTTCATATATAAAGAATTGGTGATGTACCTGATAACTTCCGGCTCATCCTCGTCGAGTTGTTGGTTGAGAATTGGCGTAGACGAAAATGCCGATGGTTGTGGGCGAGGAGCGAACGGAGGAGGAGCACCAAAAGTTGGTAGTGCGGGTGGGGGAGAAGATACAGACTACGCAGCAAGGAAAATGAATACAGCGCAGTCACCCACGAACAAGCACTACCCACCTGCCCAACATTCAGCTCTGGAAATTGATCCTCAAACTTTTCAATCTCATCATCGCCTGTGACTTTCACCTCCCCCAGTGGACTGTCGAAGTCATCAAATGAGAAGCCGCTGCTGGGCGCGGGGGCAGATGGCAAGGGTACGTCGCCCTGCCCGTCGAAGGAGATGTCAGGAAAGGCTGTGGCTGCACGGTCGAAATCAAAGTCGTCGTCCATGTTTCTTAGTACACTGCTGGAGTGAATAGGCAGATGCTAACGTTGTTAGAGATGGACTTGTTCTTCAACAGTCGACAGTACCGAGGACAGTCTAATACTGCGGCATTTGCCGGAGTGCATGCAAATTACAAGTGACAAAACTATTATTTTCACCTTTCCTATCGATGCCCTTGAACATTCCAGGGATTCTTGCTCCGTTTCAGCTGCTCAGGAATCCTCGACTTGTCATTCCACATCTCACAGTAAAAGGTCGCCCTAGTTTGCCGCATTTATGACTACCACTAACGCATATACTACAGACAGATATTCGCCAAATTGACTTCTTGGCGCTTCGAAATGCAGGCTATAGAGGAGCAGTCTTTGATAAAGACAATTGCTTGGTTGGTCACAAGATTTTCGCCGTCTCTAATTGCCTGAACACGCAGCAGACGATTCCGTATAAAGATTCCCTTGTGCCAGAGCTCGAGGTGTGTTCAAAGGGTCATAAATTGAATTCGAGTGTTAAGAGCCAACTCTGCAGAACGCCTGGAGAGAATGTCGTGAGACATTCGGGGAAGGAAACGTGCTCATCGTCAGCAACTCCGCTGGCACCAAGTTCGATGCAGGAGGAATCCAGGTATGACCAGTAGTCCGTCGTACATTCTCAGAAATTAAACATACTCAGGCAGAATCGGTGTCATATTGCCTCTCTGTCCCGGTTCTCCGACACAACACTCTTAAGCCTGGTTATTCCTGCATCGCTTCAATTCGTGCCTACTTTTTGTCCCTTCCTGTTCCGGTCCGCGATGATGAATTGGTTGTGGTCGGAGACCGTATATTTACGGATGTGATCATGGCAAACAGAATGCGCTCTCGCGCCGCCTCGTTGCCTTTTTCGAGTGACGCGCCCGCTCGTGCGAGGATTGGCGGTCCTCTCGCTATCTTGACGGACGGCGTCTGGCAAAAAGAAAGCATGACGATGCGTTGGGTCGAAAGGCGCGTAGTGGACACGGTTCGAAAGTGGGCGAGAAACGAGGAAAACTTATCCGTGGATACTAATGTGTTTGTGAGGGAACTCCCTTCCCCGGAACCTCGCAAGAATGGAAGCGCACTCACGAAATTGTTGGACATGATGAAACGGAGATAGTATGGTCGTTGACTCGTCTGCGTATAATCCTAATGCCGACTCGATTTTCCCTCCACGGCAGGTTCGAGTTTGCGAGGATTCGTTGACTGACGGTTGACTGCAGTCGTCACTATATATGTTATTATTGGAACATGGTACGCGTCATTTGTGGCTCCTTACATCATAATCATAATTTTTCCGCTGGGATGCTTGGTTGGTTCAAAATAAATGAGCTGCTCAATGAAGTTTTTTGGGGACATCCAGAGCTGCGTGAACAACAGGAGGACAGCGACACTCAAGTGCATGGGGACCAATGCAAGTCCTCACTTGAACGTCAAAACCGCCATGTTCAATCGTCGCAGAAGCTCCAATATATCCTATGATAAAGTTCGATTATTCTTGTAAGTTAGTTACCCCCTTGATCCTAGCGGAACTCACTTCTCCCGCCAGCGGGTGTGACTACAAGAAGATTCAATGCAGGGGCTCAAGATGGTCCTGATAACAAACCTGAGGCCAATAATGACCAGTCCCACGCTTGCTCGGAATCCCCGGTACTGTACGTGACATATTGAGGACGAAACACCAATGGCCACATTTAAAGAACAGCCTGTAGAACTCAATAAAGACGAAAAGCCTGCTTTCGGAATGCCTGCATTGACCGCAAGCGCGGGCGTTCTCGTTAAGCATTGAGCAGAAGGGAAAATACTATTAGAAAGGGCGGCCAACATGTTTACAGTAAACTAGAATAGGAAAAGAGACGAGATATAATAGTCCACTTCAGTAACGACCGGAGAGCTGACACAGGAATGACGACATATTTAATACCCAGTAGCCTTAGTAATAGACTCGAGGAGCATATCGTTGTAATCACCACCAGCTTCCCACATTGTGAAACCGCGCAGCCCAGTCTTCTTGATGTAGTGGCCCTTGGCAGCAAACGACTTGGTATTGTCGAATGATACCATGACATGCGAGGTCTCGTTGTATACATACGGCTGTGAAACAGAGAAATGAGCATTCCTTGTGTGATTGAGATGTGAAGATCTGTTACCGTCTGACTGCAATCGTCGTATCTGTGGTGAATACCGTGAGCAGGGATGCCTTCTTTGGTAAGGAAGCCCTCGTCCATGAGGCCCCAAAATCTGAATGTGCCACCTGGGCCCTGGTACACGCCACAACCATCGTCACCACCAACGTTATCCCATACGTCACCCAATGGCTGATTCGATGCGTTGAAGGCGGGATATACAGCCAGCGTCTTCTTGTCAGACTTGAAGGCGTGAGGGGGAGCAACGCTGAACGAGTGGCCGTAGGAAGCAACGCCGAGCACAATCTGGTTGACCGGTATGCCTGCCTCGGTCCAAGCTTTGACTGCAGAAACAGCAGAACCCTGTTGGTTCGCGGACGAGGCGCAGGTGTCATTCAACGGTGCATTGGGCCCCACACCTGAAGACCACGAGCCCCAAACGTCGTAGTTCATTATGGTGATGTAATCGAAGACCTTCGCAAAACCTGAGACGTCAGTGGAAGGTTTTCCGCTAGCGTCTCTGAAAGGTGTCACAGATACGGCAGCCGAGAGGGTCAGACTTTTCCCCACTGAGTTTTGGCGAAGCTCTTGGAGAAATTCGAGTAAATTGGCTGTGTCGTCAGCGCTAATGGTATTGCAGCCGACTCCCTGCCTGTTTGGGTACTCCCAGCTGTCGGAAATCAAGGAGAGCTAAGGTTAGCGCTTGATGTCGGGGCCACAAGTATCAACCTACTCGATTTGGAGACCATCCAGGTTGTACTTATGAGCAAAATCTGTTACGGTCTTGACAAATGCCGTCCGGTTTTCTTGGGTGGCAACATTAGAAGAGAACCAACGGCCCCCAGTCCAGCCCCCGATAGCAATGTGGGCCGCAACACCCTGCACGTGCCTTAGATATCAATTGTTGAAGCGGTAAATTTCCCTTTGCTCACATGTGCATGGGCGTCCGAAACGAACTGAGGAAGTAATTCGCCATTAGAGCCGTCCAGGCTCAAACTGCCGACGCTTGGAGTGGTGGTTCTAAGAGACATGAGACATTAACCACTCCATCAAAGTCATCTACCTTCAAGCCGATACAGGCAACTTACGCAAATGAGTAGTACAGTGTATTGTACTTTCCCCAGCTGATTGAGGACAGCGGGAATCCTTCAGTGGCGTGCCAACCGGCATACCAAGTTCCTATGACGGGTGAGATGGAGCGGGCGGCGGGCGTGCTCGCGCTTACAGCAGACAGGGCCAGAAGAGGTACAGCGAAGAAGGATAGCATGACTAGCGAACTCGAGAGGCTGAGGGAGATTGCTTTCGTGCCGACAGGTTCTTATAGCTCTCCCAACTCCCGCCGCCCTGCGTGAAGTCAAAAATGATTTACCTGTCGTGTACGGGCTAAATCTTTTGCAGTGCTACAAATTTGAAGACTGACTACCAATTGACCTTTCAGTGCCATGGAAGCGGCGCCGATCATCGCAAATTGGTCTTCCTGTGGATCGTGGTTGAAGTTACAGTATGCGAGGATTGATTTGGGTGATCTTTTATTCACGACCGGCACTCTGCGCGAAATTTGCATGGATCAGTTCATCTTACTTAGAGCCTAAACATCGCCAGAATAAAGTTCCATTCACCATAGGCCACCGCATCTCTTAGTACAGACTCTCCTTCCAAAAGGACACGGTCGGACATCCCGTTTTGAAAGTTACTTCTGGTTGGCACCAATCAACGAGAATCGTAATATTCTTGCTATTGACTCAAGTATATGAGTACATCGATAGTGATCATGTCAAACATGTGTTCAGCTGCGAAGTTCGAACGTAGCAACATACTACTGACCTTAGCAGGTGCTATATCATGCTCATCGACGTTTCGGTTAGGTTTGAAAGGTCAGTCAGAGATTTATATGCCCTCGAACTTGTCATTCGATAGTGTCCTGGGGTTGCTGGCGACCTGTCCCGGGATGTATGAAACCAGCACTACTTGGTGCCGAACTTTGACTGCAATGGAAATTGACTGGAAACACCGATTCACGCGCGGAAATGAGGTGCGGGAAAGTGACGGGACTTTGCTAAGACAGGAAACGCTCCATCATTCAGTCGAAATGATGATCCTGGCGGTCACGCGTAGCCTCGGGCTCAGGAAGTTGATGACCGTACCCAGCTCCAGGGTGCTAGCACATAAGCCTACCCACCCACCTACAAGCTACCCGACGGTCGCTTGAATGAATCGAGGTTGCCGTACACTGATGAGTTTGCCGACAACCTAAGTATGCCTAGTGGATATAGGTCCCCGAGTGATGCCGAAGGTTGACAGCAACGTCGGCAGTTCGTTCAATCCCACTCTGGACCTCTCCAGACGGGATGCGACTATGCGAGTCGCCGTCCACCGCCGAAAGTAATGACAGTTCCAACCTGTTCGTAGATTACGATAGTCAAATACCTTCCGAGAAGCGGAACAGAAGGACAGAATTACCGACTGATCCAAGAGGAGTGAAATATAGTTGGTGAGGAGAGCTATAGGGCACATGTGTGTCTGTTGTGTCTTACAGTCAGGTGAATGACCGTGACTGGTTGACTCATTGTTGGCCGTTATGAGGTAAATTTTCCCGCTATAGAAGTCTGAATCATGTCAGTCGCCTTTAAGGATGACAAAGGACCGCCGCGAGACGACAAACAGGAGGTTAGTGGTCAGCTGCATGTCTGTCGCATAGTCAACAAGATGGAGCTGGTACGTAGACCTTTCCCAGGCATCGTCGCGACTCAGTATGGGTGGCGAGACAGAGCTACAGAAATGAATCATATTTAACAGCAGGACAGAAATCTCGACGTGATTTGCCGTTTTCTTTCGCATAACCTGCCTGCACATATTATCTTTGATTTAATACCTTATCATTTTGGATCTGAAGTACATACTAGAATTGTTTCTCTGTTGCAGGCTATCGCAGCCCACCCCGGCCGCATCAGATGATTCAGGCCGCTCTCCTCAAGTCTCAAAGGAAAGCTTGAAGCGTTAAAGTATTACCAAGCTGAAGAGTCTATAACATACTCAGCGATCTATGTCTTACCACATCCTTTGGCACACCCATTCGATGACTCCAAGTTGGCAATCACGCTCTCTTATTCGAGAGCATGGCCAAATTCGTGGTTGAGGCCATTTGAACTTTCATTGCAGTGCGATTCAGATCGTTTGCAGTCGAGCGAGCTAGAGCTTGGACTAATAGCAACGTCCTTGACCTGTCTGCAATGGTACGTAGTGATATTCCAGGTTGATCATGAGATTCACAGGAGCCAGCGAGTCGGGTGGCGAGCCTGTCTGTCAGATGTTGTCACAGATTTCTTGTGTCACAAACTTGTCACAAACCAAATACGGGACAAATAGCCCATAAGCCCGCAGACTCGGACTTGGATTCGTCATTCTTCGGCGAACAGAATCGGTGGAACGATTGGACACACGGCTTTGATGCTTAACTTGTGATAAAATATGCTGCTGGGCCTTTACGTGTCCAATTTGCGAGTTCGAGTCCCAACTACCACTGGGAGGGTGCTGGCGTCTTGCCATAATGTCCGACCACTCGCACTTTCGCCACAGACTCGAGACATACTCTTCAGGAGACGGATACATCCCCTTTCTATTCAAAACTCGCGATGCTATGCAACTGAGACGCCTCCCAAGAAGCCTGCTGGGCTTACGAGGTTCCTGCCATCCGCGCTTCAACCTGCACCAGGAAGTAGCTCCTCGTTCCGGAAGATAATTGCACTGGCTAAGCCGGAGAAAAAGCAATTGCTGCTTGCAATGGGCCTGCTGCTGGTGTCCTCTTCAGTCGCGATGAGCGTTCCGTTTACGATCGGAAAATTGATAGATTTTTTCTCTTCTTCAGACCCAGTGAGTGGATAGACAGTGGGGCATGGGCGTGGTTGATTCAATCCGTGCACAGATAATACCTTTTGGATTATCAATTGGGCAAGCATCGGCGGCTCTCCTACTGTTGTTTACGACGGGAGCAGCGTGCAATGCCGCGAGGTCATTCCTCATGCGGATGTCAGGGCAACGAATTGTTGCGCGGCTGAGGGAGCGGTCGTATGCTGCAGCACTGAGACAAGAAGTCGAATTTGTGGAAAGGGGAGAAGGTGATGTTTTGAGCAGATTGACCGCGGATTCGAGCATCGTCGGGGAAAGGTAAGGTCTTGCAGTGCCCGTATTGAGAAAATTCCGTTGAAGTGTTTTCATATGCAGTGTCACGCAGAATCTCTCGGATGGACTGCGAGCTATTGTGATGTCATCTGTTGGCCGTAGGTTTCGTGTACACAGACGTGCCGCTGTTACTCATGAATGACTTCAGTCGGTGCCATGTTCTACTTGTCCCCCACGCTGACTGTGATGATGTTGGGAATTGTTCCTCCAGTCTCTCTTGGTGCTGTGAGTATAATATCTTTTTATGGCTGCAGAATTTCACTGCTTGCAGGTGTTCTACGGCCGCTACCTGAAAAAGTTGTCGAACCAGACGCAAGAAGCGATGGGTGAGTTGACCAAGGTCAGATTTAGCTCCTCTTTCCTTTGTTTCAACATATGTCTTATGACGCACGACAGGTCGCACAAGAGTCGCTCTCGGCTCTGCGGACAGTGCAAGCATTCAATGCGCGCGACCAAGAGGAGGCTAAGTTCCACGACCGAGTGACACACGTCCTTACGCTAGCTCGGAAGGAAGCGGTCGCATCAGGAATCTTCTTTGGAAGTACTGGTTGGAGCGGAAATGTGACTATCCTTGGGCTGCTTGGATACGGTATGTGCCGCGTTCATGGCTTCCATGGCTTCCCTGTATCTTGTTGACATCTCTAACTGCATTTGTGTAGGGGGAACACTGGTCTCGCAGGGTGCGATCACCGTCGGAGACCTGACGAGTCTCCTGTTATATACCGTATATGTTGGCTCGGGTCTGCAAATGCTGACGTGAGTCTTCTTCCGCATGTTATACGCCGACTGCAACCCGCGCAGCTCATTTTTCGTAGGTTTTCGATGCTCTGACGCATTCCGTTGAAACTGAGTGATATTAGTCGTCCATCATGCGCGGGATCGGTGCAGGCACGCGCATATTCGAGCTGCTCGACCGCACGCCAGCGATTCCGCCACATGGGGGCATCGAGGTTGCTCCGTCGCGCTACGGCACGGTGAGATTCGAGAACATCGGGTTCGAGTATCCTAGTAGGAAGGGTGCACGTATCCTCGATGACTTCAACCTCGAGATTGGCATCGGAGAGAGCGTGGCGATCGTGTAAGTCGTGCGGGCTAGCAATAGTTTGTGCTGTTGACCCTGGAGCACACAGGGGGAAGAGCGGTGGGGGCAAGTCGTCCATACAATCATTGCTTCTCAGGTACTACGATCCTGTTCGGGGGAAAGTAACCTTTGATGGCCAGGGTGGGTGGTGTCCGTATCACCTCTTATGGAGCATTAACGTGACTGGATAGATATCCGTGAATTCAACCCTTCGTCATGGCGCAGTATTATTGGTATCGTTCCCCAGGCAAGTGCTTACCCTTGCATTTACATCTACTGCCGTGATAACAGCCACCCAGGACCCCGTTCTCTTCACAGGGACCATTGCATCGAACATTGCCTTCGGAAACAAGGACGCTACGCGTGAAGAAATCGAAGCTGCTGCGCGCGAGGCAAACTGCGAGTTCATCTTGGGCATGCCGAAGGGATTCGACACCGAGAGTTCGTGTCGCTTTCTTTTCTGCTTGTGTAATTATTTGACGATGACACCCTTATGCAGTTGGCCGTCTGAGCTTGAGCGGAGGACAAAGGCAACGCCTGGCGATTGCCCGTGCGCTGCTGAAAAAGCCCGTAATTTTGGCGCTCGATGAAGCAACCAGTTCGCTCGATGCAGCCTCAGAACATAGGGCAAGTCACTTCACCCCCAGCTCCAGTGATTTCTTTTTTCTGACAGGGTCCCTTCAGGTCAACGACGCTATCGACAAGATCCTGCGAGCAAGACGCACAACGTGTCTGATTGTCGCACACCGTTTATCCACCATCGCGCGCGCGGAGCGAATTGTCGTGCTTGAAGGTAACGTGTTCTACCTTGTGTTCTAAAATCAAACTAACGGATTGATTGTGCACCCAGATGGCCGGATAACAGAGTCGGGAACGTATAGACAGCTTGTGAATACGAAGGACTCGAGGTTCCGGTCGCTGATGGCTGCACAGCTGAATGCGGCTGCTGGAGATGCACCCCTACCATCCCCACCGTCTGCGAATTTGGATTCTGTGCCATCTGCATCTTTGGGATCTGCACTACCCCCTCCTTAGATCAATTTTATTTTATGTAAACGGGTATTTATTAGATTTTGCATGAATCGCAACCAGTTCACTTATAAAAAATGCACGACACTTCATTTAGTGCGCTGCTTGGGTATCGGCGTGAAGAGCGTGAACGTTGCCATTTTCTGATGTAGATTTTTCAGCCCGTGGGCCATTAATCCCAGTGGGGCGTAGGGTAGGGCCTTCCAAACGAACGTTCGATGTCTTAATTTTATTAAAGGCTCTCTCACGGTTGACTCACCACCCTGCGCGAGGCGGAGAATAAGAATGCTGAAAGCTTCTTGATTGAAGCTCTATGATTGTCTACGTTTTATGATTGAAGAACGTACAGGTACGATGGGATTCATACATGATAAAGTCCAGGACAACCTTATACATGTCTGTCGGGCAACATTAAGTATGTTCCTTGCTGGTCTAGATTTCTCACTTCATGTAGGATTGTGTCATACGCCAAGAAGAGGTACTTACATACCGCTGTTATCGCATGGACGGCTTCGGTCATCAAGGGGAATCCTACTCGGGTCCCAATTTCCTACAGAATCCTTCAGTGTTGCCAGTCGTGAGTTGAAGATCATCCACACTTCTTAATCAGTAATCGATTCCCGTTACATGTTGTGGGTGCTTACCTGTGCTTAGTACCGTACATTGAAATAAATCTCAGCGGACGACTAGATCTACATGACTTGCAAGAGTCCGCGTCACTTGCCAGTCATGACTCGCATGGGATCCAGGTTTATGGGCCAGTGGTCCGGTAGCGTGCTTGGCTGGTATAATACTAAGCTCCAGCTGGCTGGAAAGGTAATCAGATTAGCTATCTCCTTATAATCATATTCCTTGATCAAATTGCAAAAGAGCCAAAAAAAGCACACCGTCATTGTTCCGCAAAAGTATAGCAAGCATTGCGCCGGCTTGAGACTTTCGGTGGTAGTCCTTTGTCTGCGCGCAGTGGTCTACCCAGGACTCAAGTACTTGATCAACCTTGAAACTCGAGTCTTAGACAAACCCCCTCTATTAGTAACCGTCCTAGGTGCAACGTGTAGGCAGACTACACAAAAGGAAGGCCATTCAGTTGCGCAAGAAGTTACCCTGATTCTGATCTAGACTTCATTACCATGGGTGTTTCAAGCTGCATACGAAATTCCAGCAAGCAACATATTATCACCTGTCTGATCTTATCTGCGCTATTCGCACGAAAGATTGGAAGGCAGTGAAAGCCAAGCAGAGCCAAGTGAGCCAAGACAGCGTGTGACTCGCGTGACCAAGAGTCACACAGTCTCTTCGAACAGTCCATGATGCCGCATTCACGGCAGGGATGGCTTGTCATCTTCTTCACCTTCACCTTTCAGTTTTACTCTGCTATGGCCCAGAATGACAGCTCCGGTTACGAGCATGACCCCATTCTAGCTTTTAGACCCGCCTTCGTTCAGTCGTTACCAGTTCAGATCCTTCTCTTAGGCGTAGTCCTCACGCTTGTCGTTGTTCTGCTCCTCCATCTGCTTTTTACCGCTCAGTATCACTGGCCCTTAGCTCGTGTCAACTATATGCTACAGCTCACGGGGGTAATCACTTTGCTAGGTTCCATCACCGCCACTATCTACATAGTGTTTTCCTCCACCGTAGAGGAGAGCCAGCATTGGCCATACATGCTGAGTTATTTGGCTGTGAACATGCCAAAAGTTGCCAACACGACACTGAATACTACTGATCCTACTGTGACATATGCGCACCGATGGTCACTCGCTGAGAGTGCCACGTGGACCGTAATGAATGCGACTACATCTATGGTTATACAGGTGAGTGGAAATGAGCGTAGCCCACTCTGACCATACCAATATCGTCATCTAGATTACCCACATTCATTTTTTGACCTTGCTATTTCCCTCAAACCTGGAGGCAAGACTCATTTTTAGCCTACTTGGTGAGTGCAAAAGTACCAAGCCTCTGCATTTCCGTTCCAAATACTTTCTTTATCTCGAATAAAATTATCTTGATGTCGTGATCTCAGATATTATACCATTCCTCATTAGTGGAGCTTTACCCCATTCAATTTCGCTGTGGACATAAGACATGAGCTCCTTCTGTTCTGTGTTCTGCTTGATGTCGCGATACTGATCTCAATTTCGGGCTTGTCATCAGGTCCATTGGCAATCATATCCGCTGTAATGCAACTGCTCCCGATCTTCTTCGGGACGAGCGTGATGCCACTCGCGGAGGACACCCGGAACGTGTGCAATGCAACGTTGTCATTGCTGTTTACGTCGGCACTAATAATTTGGGGTTTTTTTGTCAATCGGGAGGCAGCATGGCGCACCGATGGCGGGACAGCAGCCTTCGGCGCTGGTGCAATTGTTCTCGCTCTCATGTCAACCACGCTCAATTTCATCTACATACCGAGTCAAGACCAGTATGGATGGATGCCAAAACTGATGTGGAGCGTGGTTATGTGGCAAAGTTTCCTTGGATGGTGGTGGTGGGTTGGTTCCGGGATGGGCGTCGGCGAGGTAGAGGAACTGCTGATGAAGGAGGAGAAACGTGAAAGGAAGAGGAGACTAAAGGCACAGAAGAGGAAGGAGCAGCGGGAGAAAGCGAAGACCATGTGGAAGGGTGTCACTGGTGCATTCAAAACGAAACGCGACCATGGAGATAGCCGGGAATCAAGTGTGGGACGCGAAGGACTTGACAATTCTCAATCGCTGAATGCTCTCGCTTCCGGCAATGCCCTATCGACTGCAGCTTCGACGATAAACGGATCGTCAGGGGGCATACTCCCGCTACACTTTGTAAACAGGTGGTATGCACGCTTGCGCCACGCTCATCTTACCGCAGCAAGAATACAAGCTGTCGAGCGCGTGGAGCGTATTCACCAAGTCTACGGCCGTGAGGAGGCCCGAAATTCGATCCGGGAGCCTGGCGCCCAGGTCGTCGGATGGGGACTGGGTAGCTATGGACTGCGGGGCGTAGAGCGGGATCGGAGGGAAGTGCAGGAGCTACAGATAAAGATTGAAGAAAGCGAGGACGGCCATAATTCAGGCGAACCCGTAGGACCAGAATTACTCTCGCAGGATCAGTCCTTTCGGCGGCGTGGCCACGAACCTCAACCTCAGTCATCGCAACAGGCTCCGCCGCCGCCGCCAGAGCCCGAGGCGGACCTTGGATGGATATCATTCTGGTGGTGGGGCCCTCTTCGACGGTGGCGTTTACGGGACTCGACTGCTTATAGGTGAGGAGAGCAGTTTGGTGCGAGAGGATATTGGAGATGCTGTATGATGTGCAATGTGTATCCCGTGCTTTGATGTCTGCTGTCGGTATTAATTTTTGTTTCTTGGACCCCCACAGCTACACTGTTACACCAGCCAAATTTCAGCTCATCGAAGTTGAATCTGGGCATCCGTAAAATCTACTTTACGCTCCATTTATACCAGCAGGGTTATAGAAATCTCACCTTATTATTGTTCTCATCTATACCTCGTGTACAATATCGACTTTCTGTAGAACATTTCGTCCATACCATTCGCTTTGGAACTCCCATATTGTTGTATCGATGACTGATCAGATTATTATAATATCATCGGTGAGCAGCACTCACCGACTCTGACCTTCCAAGAAGCAACAAATGATTCGTTTATACTTCGAGTTCGACATGACAACTCCACGCTCCTGCCACGTTTTCACAACGGTAATGTCTGTGGTACGCCATCCTCTTGCAAAAGAAACTCACAATTATCAAAAGACATGCCTTCCGGTGAGAGTGGTGCACAATGCTCTGAAAGACATACATTGGGATAGTGTTCCTCTTTTGAAGCAGCACTCGCCACTCAGGACGACTCATGTGCTCGAGATGACGTCCGCGGAGATCAGTGTCTAAGGTGTGTACATGTTTTCCCTTCGCGACTCAGAAGTGAAAACGCGTCGTTCTGTTAATGTTCGCTATTCGTCATATCAGCCACGAGTCCTGACAATGTGTTTGATAATCAGTTGACGACGAGGACGACACCTCCTTGGGTAGAAAAGTTGATATTGATTTGTCGTCTCGACCTCTTCAAATGATTATAATCGCCGCAGATAAAGAAGATACACTTGTCTATAAATTGCTGGGCATATAGCACCAGTGCTGTAAACCGACCTGTTACTAAATCGTATTCATGACTCAATACACCACCCACGACTTCACAATGAGTGAGTTCTATCTGCTGCTCGGATTATAATTGGTCATATTATGTGTTGGTAGCCTCCCACCAACTTCAAGGAGCCTTATTAATCAGGCAGCCTTCGCAGGCCGGCATCGACGCCCTCTGCCACCCTCGCACCCCTGCACGTTATCTCCACGCAGGCTTGAAAATGGACAGGCTCGTCTGCCGGGAGACACAGGTGAGCGGATGTCAGAACTTGAAACTTGAAGTTGTGCATTGCATGCTTATTATCCCTGAAGAATAAATTTAAAGACCTAGCTCTTCGTCATATCGATTTTTCGATACCATACTTGGAGCAGCCTCAAGAGAGGATAGAATACTTCAAGCGCGAGGTAATAGATATCTTGTTGTGATTCCGTGTTGGCGTTCTGAGGCTGAAATGCATGGTGAAGGTCCTGCTCGATCCAGAATTGTCGCACCTGACGTGGTATGAAGACGGCTGGGCTGTCGACGTCTTTTTGAGGATACTTTACCACAGACCACGTCCAATGAGCAACCTTCAGGTAATTCAAGACTTACATGATCACTCTGGATTGTTCTAATTTACGACCAGGAGCTGGATCTTTGGGGTACACAGGTTTTTCCTATGAGTCAAAGGCCACCAACCGTTCGCTCTGACAATCAGGCTATCCAGCCTGAGGATGCTCAGGTGAACACAGTTGATACATGATTACTTCGGTTGTTCTAATTTACGACCAGGAGCTGGATCTTTGGGGTACACAGGTTTTTCCCATAAGTCAAAGGCCATCAACCGTTCGCTCTGGCAGTCAGGTTATCCAGCCTGAGGATGCTCAGGTGAACATAGTTGATACATGATTACTCCGGTTGTTCTAATTTACGACCAGGAGCTGGAACGTCGGGGCACACAGGTTTTTCCCCGTTCCACTTGAATTATGCTCTAGGTATATCTAACACATATGTTGTAGCATGACTGTCCACGTCAAAGGTCATCAACTGTTTGCTCTGGCAACCAGGTTACTCAGCCTAAGGATGCTCAGGTAAACACAGTTGATGAAGAGGCCCCGATCACCTCCCTGCCGCGCATAGCTGTCTTATCTGCCTACCTGGCTTCAATACCAGGTTTGCACCGCTTTGATGCGGTTCTCACCCAGGCTGGCCTGTCCACAGACGAGCATCTGGACCACTTCTTGCATATGGCACCTACATGGAGGGAGAAATTCATTACACAAGCACTCACAGAGAACTCAACTTTATTTGAACGCATGGTAATTTTGGAAATTCTGGAGGGGCTGAAAAACGAAACACTCTAGTTTACGTTGCCATACACTGACGTTATGGTAATGATATCTTTGCGTTTTGGATCCGACAATCACTATCGCCGAAGAAGCTTGAGTAGTGTTTCTATGCCATCTAATCCAAACCCATCTTCGGTCGAATAACACACAAACATTGGCTCGCGGGACGCATCAAATTTACTCTGCAGTGGCGTTCAGTTTTATCCTTGCTGATGCGTGTAATGCATGCTAGCTTACCCGAAAATTACCTCGATTCAATAGTCCTGCGCCTTGGTTGACGTTTGAATACGTCTTGTTCAGCCACGTGAATTTCCACCCACTGATGTTCTTCGTTGGCTTGAGGTCACTGGCGGCGCTGACATTAAACGTAACGGAAATATCTCCTCTTTTCACGCTACCAGTATCGGACTGGAATTCGTTGCGCAAGTCTGTAAGAGCCGAAGTAATCAGGTATTCAGAGGTGCCTTTTGGAGCTTGAGGAAAGGCGACAGCATTCTTGATGACGAAAGAATCTTGTACCGGAGTTAGAATAAGAACACCCACGACCTGGAAAGCAAGTTCATATAGAAGAACGCTGGAGACAATTTGCTGACCTTGCCGTCTGAACGAGCCACCCAATATCGCCTGTGGTCAAAATCGAGGAATGGGTCAAATGAAGTCTGCAAGAAATGAGTTTGCTTTCCGATCTGAAGGAAATTACACGTACGGCAGCGAGTTGAAGGCCTGTGCGAGACTTCTTCCACGCGGCCACACCATCCTGGATCTCTTTACTTGCTGCGTCAGACCATTGGTCCCGATTGATTTCCGTGACGTCAATATGAGCTCTCTCAGCCCGCCGCAAATTCTTCCTCAAGTCCTTCGCCATCGATCCGTCTCCTTCTGAGGTATCGCTTGTCAATTCTATGACACGCTCAGGATCAACGACATCTTCATTGATACAGCTGACCGTCGACCATCCCGTGCTAGATAGGATCTCATCAAGTTTGTCGTCAACACAACAGTACACGCATTTCATCCCTTTGCTCTCTACAAAGCTAGCAAAAGCTTGTGCGGTGGGCTTGAGAGCCTTTGGGTCAGAGATAATAGGGTTGCCCCATGCAAATACCCAAGAGTTCGAGTGGAGATAACCTTGGACAGGGGTGAATGATGATTCCGGAATAGCCTCGGAAGGCTGCCAAGTGTGATACCGCTCGGTCTCGAGCCAAGCGGTGGAGGTCGAGTTTCCATGTTTGGCGACGAGGTCAGCAAGTTTGGAGTGTTCGAGCATAGACCGGTCGAGACACTCCGTCATGTTGGGCTGACTCTTGCCTACCCGGAAATTGGATGGACGATTGTAGTCGCTGTCGCTACCGGATATGCTGGAAGTGCTGGACGTTGCATCTCCTGTGTGATTTTGGTGCGGTTTGAGAGCGTGAATGAGACGATACATTCGGGCCACAATTCTATGATTCATTTACCTTTCCATGTTCCATATAAATACCAGGTCTCAGAGCCTTGACGTCAGTGCGTGCGTGAGTCGTGACGATGATGCGTCATGGTCACTACGCCAGTCGGTATCATGGCGATTTGGCGCTCGAGCTCCGAGCCCCAACAAGGTCGAAGTTGATCACGGGGAAATTGACGGTCCAGAACAAGATTACCTAAGCGTTGCCAAAAGCGGAGGAGGTGTGTCCGGCGGAGGTGGTGGTTCGAAGGAGTCACGTTTGGGACCAGCTGTGGACGGAAAATTCTGGGGACGGTCGGCGTAGGTAGAGTGGTCGAAAATTTAGTTTCGTTGAGTTTCCGAAGCGTTCCCTGTAGTGCGATCGCGCTGCAGAGAACTTGCACGACGTTTCGCCACCGTGCGGAGTCGTTGCCGAGCGGGATTCGAAAGGACTGCAAATTTCTCACCTGAGGACCCCCCAATGCCAGGGGCCAGGCCCCAGCAGCCACAAACTCACGGCAACCGTCTTGGCATCGTGCTCGCCTCGCCGGCACTTACTATACATTCTCTCGTGCTCATCTGGACCTCCCAGACACATTTTATTGAGTGTAGATACTTCATGAATACATCTTTTCGCCCATCTCAGGATTGTACATCCAGGACTGCAAACCCCACCAAAAGGACCGTCAATTTTTCACACGAAGTACTGACGAGTGACTGACGATTTTGGGACTCCCGTAGGCAGACCAAAGAAGGAAAATAGTTGATCCGAACATGAAAAACGAGGACGAGACCGTGTCGGCGATCATGATCCTAAAATGGAAAACTGTGTTATCGAGACTCAGACTAACATATTGTGGCGCTCACACGTATGTGCGAATAACCGCACTAGGGGGTGCTTGCTGGATGGCATCGAGCGAGTTCAGACCAGCTTTGACATTCAACTTCACCATGCTGCTACATTCCGGCTACCGTGCTCTACCAGATCTGCACGTCTGAACAATTTTATCAGGTATGGACTTCAACACTGATAAGTAGTAACGGTATTCCCAAGGTATCCCTCTATTCTGGCCCTGGGGCCTGGGGACTCCTGGGCTATATTGAACCCGACTCATTCACTTGCGAGCATTATGTAGCGCGGTAGCTATCTAGATCTCTGTCTCGCATGCAGCTCCCAAGCCACATGGGGCGATATATAACACTATCCATCCTTCCCAACCCAGCGAGTCTTTGGCATGAAGGGCGTCCTACAGTGCTTGCGTGGTCATCTAGCCAAGTTACCACAGCTCCCCCAGCTACTGCAACAGCACAGCACAGTCCGTCTAGCATCCTTCACGTTGTTTTTCACTGCATTCCTCCTCTTTCTCTTGGTCGGTCTCTCTTTGCCAATTATCGAGTCAATCATAATTATCAAAGTATCAGCAATAAATTCTGTTGATCCCGTCGCGAATGCAATTACAGAACTACAATATGGAGTATGGGGCGTCTGTATAACGAGGTAGAGCATCTGCGTTGACTAATTCTACCACTGTTTCCTTATCCATCATGTTTCAGTATGCTTAACGGTGTCGAAGCGCAAAAAGCATGTTATGGTCCACAGTTGGGATACATCATTCCCACAAGCCTTTTGTCTCTCGTCGGGCTTTCTTCTAAGCTCGCAAATGTTGCAGAGACAACCCTCTTGACTATCCTTGTGCTGCATCTTGTCGGTGCAGGACTTTCGGCTGTCGCCTTTATGTTGTCCCTATTCTGTCACTCTCACCTAATCACAATCATCACACTCGTTGTCGCCATCATCACAGCAATTCTGTCGACTGTTGTATTCGCTGCGGACGTCGCCCTTGTGGTCGGTGTCAAAGACAACATCGACTCCCTTTTCTCTGGAACCGACTTCGCTGTAAGCTTTGGTAATGGCGTATGGATGACATTAACGGCGATGGTTTTGGCTTGGATAGCAGTTATCATGCTATCAGCACAGCCATGTTACTGCTATGGTGTTAGACGGTAGGTTTGCGGGACGTTATCTGTGACACAATGGTTCTGATTTGCCGATTAGCCCAAAACTCAAGACGCCTAGATCTGTGTCTGAAAAGGACAGTATGGATAAGGTCTTGGTTTAGAATGGACAGGTCTGCCTTGTATTTCTGTGTTCGACAAGTTACGAATGTAATATTTTACGACCGCGATGTGTTACCCATGATCCTATGCATGGTTGTCACTTATCAATCAATCATAGTAGCTTCTTTAGATAGCGTTAGTCTAAACTTTTGACCGGTGAAATGTGGGCGATTTATTACTTCCCAACTCATACAATATGAAGTGGGATCCGACAAGTAACAACTTGGACGAGTAAATACGATCTCTCGCCATGACCAACGGACTTTTCGACACTATCAAATCTTGAGCCGTAAAACAAACATGGGACTTGATTTCAATAGGTAGAATATCATACAAGGAAAAATCTTGATATCAAAAGACCTACTGCATCTCCGCAAGCCTGACATTAAGAGCCTGTATCTGGAGAGGACTCATCCTCCCCATCAATTCCCTCTCAAAGAAATCCTTCCTCACCGCAGGAGGCCATGATCTCACAACGGCGAGATCCGCCTCGTTACTAATTCCTAACTCCTCGAATGCGAGAAGAAGGTGGCGTAGGTCAGGGTTGACCGTCTTCAAAAAATTCTCGATCCCGAGATCGTCGCCCCCGGCGGTACCCTGATCTACGAAATCGTGCTCTTCGTAGGCAGGGGGTGGACTAGCGGAAGCGGGTAACAAACTTGCGCCACGCTATCACATCGAAGAATGAGCTACATTATCTGTTTGGCAGTATAATTACTTTACCTCTGAGGCAGAACTCTTGACACGAACGGGTTTCGGGGCGGGTCTCAACTTCGTCATTTTAGTTCTGAAAGCGTGACGCTTCGAGTAGGTTTTCTTCGCCAGATAGTGTTCGACATAGAGCTCTACGGGCCATGTATCGGCGTACTTGGAAAGCATGGGCGCCAATTCTTCGCGAGCCTGAGGAAATGTTAGATGATGTATGACTCACTTGGTCAAGCCAATGACTTACCCAGTCCAAGTACACAGCCCAAATTTCCGGGCTTTGTTCATATAAAAACCTGTCGCAATCAAGCAGCATTACCGCTTGATCACGAAGCAGCTTCTATTATCGCAGATCAGCGATGCAGGATGGTTGTACAATCGAATTTTACCTTGAAGCTCTCAAAGGCTGAGTGACTGATTTCCATGGCGTGGATTATGTTTTCCTGCGGACCAGACAGAAGCCTGCGAAACTCTACCGGCGGCGGTCGCGGTATGACTTGACGACCGACGTCGATGGCAGCTGATCCACTACTACTGAGAGAAGGCTTCATACCGGTCGAGACCACTTGCGAAGACCATGTCAGCGGAGGAAGGGAAGAAAAAAACGAGCCACTCACTAGTGCTTTCAATAATGAGTTCAAGGGAGGGGGGAGGATACGTACAAGATGTAAAAGTGCCACCTGGTGCTGCTGGATGATTCTAGAAGTTCACCTTTTTGAGGTGGAAGTACACCGACAGAACGGGTGATACACATGCAAGCAGTCACAGATTGTGACTTGGACGCTGTGCTCCTGTTACCCTTCATAGAGGACAAATACGATCCGTAGAGATAGGTAGATAATCAGACATGACAATGTCAATTTCCAGAAGTGACAGTAAGGCTACGGACCTAGGCTGAGGCTGTCCTTTCTTCGGAGTAGGTCCGAACACACACTCTCTGTAGCCTTGCTCGAAAGACTTAGACACCACAAAAAGAGATGGCGGAGAAATCCTGTACAGCTGTTGAACTATACCAGGTCAATGCGACTGCGTCAGATATATATCTCACCCACCACAGAGTGTGCCATGCCAAGCAGCTCCAGCATCGCGGCGGTTTTCAAACCCATTTGTCTCTGGTCAGCATTGGGAACTGTAGCGCAAGGCGACTTGGGTACAAGGGAATCATCGTCGAGCTCGAAGGCTCCGAATCATGTTGGCACGTAGCGCTCGGTGCGTTCGATGTTGTGAGTTGCGCTGAACAGGTTCGCGAGATCCTGTTAGAACCAGCTATGGGCCTTTGATTCCTAGTATCCTACCGATCGCGTCAGCTAGCCCGCCCATATCAACCTTCAGGTATGCAGATGCCTAGTCTCCGACCCTAGGCAGACAAAATAGAAGGAAGACAGTCGTTCCTTTTTTATTATGTCCTTGGCTTCAGTCGCCGCAGGGTCTTGGCCGTCAACACCTGTTACTAGCAGGTCAGAAGGTATTCGTCACGTCAGACGCATATTCTAGCGCGAAACAGTTGATAGCGATGAAGAGAAGATCATAGATTCTGCAAGACGCGTGCTATCAGCTGCCAGAGTACGCGTCAACTAACATCCACTTAGTATCAGCTAGTAAGTCCTAGTTTATTATAAGACACAGGATTTGCAAGCTCACCTTACGATGCGGCAGGAACTCAGAATTCCATTTCTGTGGATTTCCCGATTTCATTTAGGCTCTTCGTTGCACGCAGAAGCTGATACCGAGTCATCCAAATTGAAATCAACGCGCTGATTTTTTCATTGCAAAGCATGGCGACTAGGGCAGCACCCGAAGAGAAAACCAAGGCTCATGCGGTGGTTGTGGTGTGCGATGGTATCGCGCCTAGGAAACCTGACTCTGTGGCTCGCAGTCGCGGGCCCAAAAAACTTGTTTGTCGTCGGCCAATTTGGTCATTATGCATCACGATTGATACATTTTTTCACAACCACCTTCAAGCTTCGTCATGTCTGCCACTGCAGTTGAGCGAGACGCTACTGATGACTCGAGACCAGCAACCGCTCCAACCTGAACTTGACCAAACCAGGTCAAATAGGCTACACCATGTTTGCGTCTTCAACTTGACTCAATCCCCAACTTCAGTACTAGGCTACTAGCTGAAAACGAGTTTTGGATCGGTTACTGAAACCCGTATACTACATACATGCTCTTGTTTCTGATCGATTATAATTAGATGTGGAGAATACTGCGAATGGCGCGCGCTGTGATAACACGCGGTCTCTTGGACGGTGCCGGTGAGCCTGGAATCATCAAACTCAGCTACTGCGCCGCTTTCCTGCACTGCCTGTGATACTGTGTGATAAAGATCTGGTAGTGAGTGCGTTGCCTTATGTCTCTTCTACACTCGTCATGTACAGGACCTCAAGACTGCAGATTATCACTGAAAAGATGGACATCGATGTTATACCGTACGGGATGAGCCCTCAGGCCTCATGCATTCATGATTCATGAACCTGTACAATTGAATGACGAAGAACAGAGGTCTGCTCAGCCATGCGGCCGCCGGCCACACAGGCATGTCTAAGTAGTCTCCCGTGGCCCCACATTTCTATTTTGAATTACGGTCATGCCATATATTCACCAGACCAACACGGACCAGCAATCAGGATGTATATTGGTCTAGCTGTGCGAATTAATGCCGCGCCGATGGCTCAGCTGCATGATTGTTTCAATGTGGTGCGTTTGCATCAGTTGCATCAGAGTTGCACGGTTCTTACCATATTTTGCTGCATCCCTGTGCCGACATTATAACCCAATGAGCAGGGAATTGTGCGTGAGGCGATATGTGTTTGTGAGGGGGAAAGGCGCGCATTGGATGGAGATCAGGCATCGAGGAATTTGGTTGGAAGTAGGAGGGAGAGGTGAGGCACTTGTTGAAATTGCACCTGTTCTATCTTCCGTTTCTGACTTTTTCTGCTGTCAAGCCGACAGAATGTGACCTTGTTAAGAGTGCAGATGGACTCGTTGAGATAGCAGGCTTTTTCGATGGTCGCACCGCCCCTAGGCCTGTGTTAGATCAGTGGCTATGTGATTTCATCGATGAACTCCTGAACTGATGCAAGAACATCTTCATTTCACTAACTGCCAATCAAGGCAGGGTCGAATATTCATGTCCCATAATCTCTATCTCGGCGATACATGCGCTAGAAGGTGGTATATCTAGTACGAATGCCATCATTATATGTCCACCGAGTTCGCCACTCACTCGTATCCATTCATCCCATGTCCCTCGACCTAAATTATGCTGGTTGGTGGCCGGTAGTCGATTTTAATCTTAACTTCAGTTATTTCGTAGGTTCGTGGAGAGCCAGTCCGGTGGTGTCGGTGATGGCTTAATCTAACCTTGACTGCGGTTTTGCAGTTGCGTCCTCTGTTGCGGTGATATACGATTGGGGTGAGCAAGATAGTGTTTAAGAAACACTGATATCCTTATGATGTTTCCAGCACTTACATTCGGACAAGAGGTACGTTGGTGCCACTACCGGAGTAGCCATCTTACTAAGATTTTATATATAGTTTGAACTGGTCTGGGTGAGCAGATTCCCATAACAGAATAAACTCAATAGGATAATGCGCTCAATTTGGGTCAGAGACGTCGCTGGTCCCTTATGAAAGCCCTATATCTCGGTGTGCGTACTCTTTGTTTTAAGCGCAGGCAGCAAGTTGTGCTGACATGTTATAGGTGCGCTACGGTGGAATACTTTACATTGCGTATGTCTGCAAGGCTAACAATTAACTATGTGCTAATGCCTAAGCCATTTCCCACAATCAGCATCAACACGCTGCGTATGTCTCCTTACATACAATCCGCGTGCTCTTCCTGACCGGCGGCATACAGAAGTTCTTCCGATGGTCTCCGTGACAGATGTAGTGAGTCCTCCTACGTTGATACCTGCCATTCCCATTCCAATTAACCATTAACCGCACTCCTAGGGGTGAGTGAGGTTCCCGACCAACTTGTTGGTTCAACATAACGACCGCAACAGCTGTGAGTCTACTTAGAAGTGTTTGGTCCTCTGAAGCTCATCATCAACTGGAATTTTCAGGCAGCATTATGTACTCCGCACTAAATTGGATGGGTGTCGTCGTAAATACTATGCTAGGTGGTGAGCTATCCAGCTGCAATACCTCAGTGATATTGATTCGACTGATACGTCATGCAAGCCATCATGATCACTCGGTTATGTGCCATGTATCGGCGATCGAGAAAGATGCTTATCTTTCTCATTGTGATCTTCATGGCTGTCATGATCGCCTGGGGAGTTATGACTGCAATGGTAAACAGGCACACTTCAGGGGGTAAGCTTTCATTATGGTCGAAGGATTCAAGTGCATTAGGTTGATCAGATAAACACCAGAGGACCTCGTCCTCTTCGGCACCTATCAGTGCACTTACCATGACGAGGAGGCTGACGCCGCAATTTTTCTTTCCATGACATGGATACTCGCCACTGTATGGGAAGTCCTCGCACTGTGTCTTGCAGTCTGGATTGTTATAAAAGACTCCCTTGAACTGCAGCGACCATCGACGGGATGGACCATAGGTGACTGTTTCACGGTGTTAATACAGACCCACGTAGTTTACTTTGCAAGGTGAGCTCGCAATTTGAATGTGGTTAACTTTCTTCGCTAACGTTCCTCACCTGCTAGTTTTGCTGCTGTTTCTTGCTTCGACCTTGGTCTTTTATCTCCACATTTTTCGGTGCACCCATCTATCGCTGACATCTGCATGTGACCGTTGTTCATCATTTGTACAGTCAGTAGATGTGGGAACTCAGGTTTATGACGGTGTTCGTCAAATCGTCTCGGCGCTACAAATGTTTGTGCTGGGACCACGCCTCGTCCTGAGTGTTCGACAATATCACGCGAAGCTCGTGGCCAACTCCGATGCAGGAACGGACATGAGTGCACTGGCTTTCTGGCAACCCACACATGTGCCGACTGACGACGATGTGTAAAAATATTCCAAGTGATTAAACTTGTTGACTACTCTGCAGAGGGAGCACGAGTGTCATAACGTGTTCTCCGTACGTACTTCATTTTACATACACAGTCACTACTTCACGTTTTTTTTTCGTTCTCCGTCTCGACCACGACATGCTTTTATTGCTCTTCCGTTGGAATCAAGTCCCCTCACTCCTTCAATCGAGAGATAATAATCCAGTTTACTCTCTTTCTATGTATGGACCTCTGTCCAAGTCTGTCGTAGTGTCAGTCCTTCAACATTTCGCCATGGTACTGAGACTTTGCCGAACAGTTTGGATTCTTGACTCTAGCCCACCGTGCAATGATGCGTCGATGGAATTGGTTTCCGACAGCTGGTACTGCTCAAGATCTATCGATTATGGGATGGACAGCTCACACTCAGCATCTATGCGTGTAATTACAAACCGGCAATTAGAAACAGCGCCGATGTTTACTGCTACATCAAATGTACTGATAACAATACATGAACATCTAGAAGAATGTCAAGGTCCGACCTGGAAGCCGCCTCTCAATCGTGTACCCTCATGATAGTGTCAGAACGCCACCAGCTAGCAATATAGCTCCAAGTACGAATGAATTCGGGCTCGATGCAGACGTTAAGGCAACATTCGTATTCTGTCAGGTACGCAGATTAGAAGACGCATGCATCATGTTCAAAAGTGATCCATACCAGTTGTTGCGTGCTGTTAGCAGCCTCGCAGCCGTGTATGCAATTCAGATTCATATTGCTCGTGATGAGTGATGCAAGCTCGGGAGCTATAGGCGCGGGTGATGCTGCAACTGTCAACAAAGTCAGGTTCTGTGAGACAGAGCTGTGATGAGAGGATATTCATACCCATTGCAGAAATCCCAAAGAGGACGACCCATAAGGACAGAATGCGGAGGGTTACTGAGGACATATTGATTGGGTATAAGATGGATTGAGGTATATGCGATGAGGCCGATAGTAGTGGGAAATGACACTTAATGAGTGGACGAGATGCAGGCCTAATCAATAAGCCAGGAGGTGAGAGGGGACGGCGGAAGGGAATGGTTAAATCCCGAACACTCAGACGCCTTCTTATACAAAATTGCTAACCATTGAAATCGCGATAAGATGTTACCTTCATCCGAGAATGGCAAGTTGGCGCACGCGTGAGGGTCACGTGCATTGAGGTTTCTTGTATTTTCGTTGTATTGCAGGAAACAATGTCGTGAAGAACTATCCCAAAAATCAAAAGCCAGTAGTTTATGCAGCGCTGATACAAGAATCGGGTTATCGTAAAATAAAAAGGGCTGTCAGTATCCTCCGAGTCGACAACATCTTCTTCAAATCCTGGGCCGAGAGGAGACGACTACTTCGTTTTGCAGTCGCACGCCTGCTGCTGATTGATGCAGGCGCAGCTGTCACCGGTACCTTTGCACTCGCACTGATGCAATGAGAATTATTGAGGACCATGGAAAATTAGAAGTGCAATTAACCACGTACCTGCGAAGAGTGTTGCTTGTTGACACAGTTGTCGCAGTTGCATTTATTCTTAGGGCAAGCGCAGCCGGTGCCCGCGGGGCCACATGCGCTATGGACGTCAATGTTTGAACCGAAGGCAAAAGGTTGGATGAGTGAGCACTCACCCGCAATTGCTGATGCAAGTGCAGTCTCTCACCATCTTGGTAGATTCTTATATAGTGCTTGTTGGTTGGTTAAAGATGATACAAGACGTGCGTCTAGGTTCTGTGGACGGTTGGAATGAGTGATGTAAATTGAACCAAGCATTCCTCTTATATATAGCATCTCTGGCTATGACGTCGAGCCTGACGTCGTCGGTGATGCGTGTCTTGAGTGCTATTTTAGAGTGGCATAAAATCGGAAAAACTTAGGTACCTAGGTCCTCAGGTTAAAACAATGAAATGAATCCAGACTCGTGCACCGACATTCGAGTCAGCGCTACACGCAAATTTGTCTGTTCTGAGGTGCGAGGAACGAACATCATAGCACGGCGACTTGTGACCAGGAAGAAGGCGGTCTGGCCATATAGCTCGGCAAATACCGCACCTTCAGAAATGAAGTGTGCACAAGTGGTATTCCCACGACTGCTATATCTACTTCAGAGTTGACTTAAGAGTGCACTTCACAGTGAGCAAAATTAATAGGTGATCTTTGATTCTTTAGTTTTTTCTTCTTCTGGGGAAACTGTCGAGCTAGTGTATAGCAGCGCGTGGATACGAGGATGAATTCCTACCCGGCTGAGCTCCTGGTCCAACTCGCCCCAGTCATGTTCGTTGCAGGTCTTGACCTACCACCTGCACCGACAACCTCAAATCCAAGTACCCCACAATCACCAGGTCAAACTACAATCTCCCCCACCCACACCCACCAAGTCCCAGGATCCTTTCGCGAGCCTTGTTGCACGCCTCCGCGACGCCCTCCAGTCGCAGCGCAAAGTCGCGATATGGGCACCAGAACGCACAAGGACTTTTCAAATGATTCTCGTGGGTAGAGACATCCGGTTCCCTCCTCGCAAGCTCGTTCCGGCAGAGGACCCTGCATATGCATCCACCCATTCACTACTCTCGCCCTTGACGCCTTCGTCACCCTTGTATCCCGACGGCCTGATTGCGCCCATATGGATACGGAAACACACCGCCTTAGTGCCGAGCGTGTTTGTTTTATTCCTCCGATTGTTCGAGGCACCCATGGTACATCCCCGGTCTCCCTCGGGCCCACTAGACCCAGAACATGAACGTGACAAAGCAGAAGAGGAACGCCGAAGAGATACTGAACTTAGCGCTGGGATTGCAGCCCGAAAGAAGATGACCAATGAACGTGGTATCAAATTGACTGCCGTGCTACTTGCGACCAGGAGGATGCTCGGTACATTATCCCATCTGTCATAGTAAAAATAAGTTTCTAACTGTGTATCAGATGATCCGTCACTGGATAGCCGTCTTACCTTCATCAGAAGACAGAGCGGGCTTGACTCCCGTGCAGCCTTGTTTGTCCTCAGTCCAGTTAGTACATCTGAATTGAATGATTTTGCGCGCAGGTAAGAGCACCCAGTTTTTCTACGGCTGCGCTATATGATGTTTTAGTTTACAAGACGCCCTGTACGAATCTGCTCTCGAATACTACACCTCACACTCCAAGCGTGTCAGGCGGAAGCGCAATCGGCACTCTCAATCTGTTTCATCCTACAACCCCCCGCCTCTTGTTCCTGTAGGCGCCGTGAGTGCCCGCCCACTACGCCCAGAAGGGTGGACGGTGCGGTATGAATACAAGATGGCATGTTTCGCAGAGTTCAGGGGTGAGGACGAGGTTGCACTCAAGTCCGTCACATCCATCGCTCCCGAAGAGATTGAAATACTGAGTTTCTCAGACACTACCAGGATGCGTACTCGACACTCATGATCATGTTCGGATCGACTGCTATCCTGCCCCCTCGAACTAAACGCTGGGCAGAAGCCAAAGTCCTTGCGGACACCATAAATGTGAAGGTGAGAATGCATACATCTTGTATGATCAGTCTTACCACTGGACCGACAGATAAGCAAACTCTACCTGTACAACCACGAGCACTCGCTTGCACTTTCGCACCACAACTCCCACATGCGCCGGTTCGCAGATTTCTCACGGGGATGGGGCATAGGCGAGGAGACATTTGAGTACTGGAGTTGGATGGCGAGACAGTGCGGCCCTCATATCCAAATACATTCGAGTTTCTCACCATGTCTTCCAGACACCGTGTCCTCGCAGAGCTTCTAGAACAAGGATCAAACTCTTCGCTGACGTTCCCGACAAATATCCCTCCTTCGCGCACGGCTGTATCATCCACGCCCGTGGAGTTGGACGCCGTTCGAGCGCTCGGGTTGAATCCTAGCCACGCCTTGCAGCATCCAGGCCATTACTATTACATGGCTGCCCGATGCACGGAAGTACGCAGGGAGAGGTTCTTGGCCAACGAGGTATGTTTGGTGTTTTGGTGATCCATCAATCATATCTCACTTTTGGAAGGGTGTCTCGCAAGGGACGAGTGCCGCCCCAGGATACGCAAACGAGAAAAAAGTCGACCATCTGACGCTAATTCTCGAGGTCTGAGCACCGTTTAACTCGTGATGCAGTTTAATGATGGTGATCATGTTTTCTTTTCCCTCAGCTGTATACAAAATCCTACGAGGTGTTCAAGAAGTATAACTCCACCACCAGTCAGGGACGCTTGACGCTCTGGATTGCTTACCGCATCGCGCATACATACTACGAGTCCGAAAAATTTGATGTCGCCGTACGGTATGGGTTCTCATCTTTATTGTGCGAGAAACAAACTGGATAGCAGCGTAGATTCTTCGAGCGGATAGCAAAGACGTACCGAAAGGAGAAATGGAACAACATGCTCCGACCGCTTTTGTCAACGTGGTATGCTTGTGCGCAGAAACTTAGCGACGTGGAACTTATGGTGACGCTGCTCGTGGAGATGATTGGGTATGGTAAGTAGCATATAATGCTTTGAATGTGGTCGCACGGTGATGATGTCGTTTAGCGCAAGACGCTGATGAGTCGAGAACTCTACAGAAGGACCTATTGGCGGTACTCAAGGTGAGGCGTCCTACCTTGTCTTTGACCCGATTCAACTGAAGCCGATTCTTGTAGAGTTCAGTTCCTGTATCAGTAGGGAAGCCACTCGTTGTTGACCTCAAGGAGTCTGAGCCGTTATGTGAGCTATTGGGTCCATGTTTTCTCTGGTAATTTTCACTGACTGGCACGAAGTGGACACCATGCTGGTCTTTTGGACACCCGAAGTGCGCGTCGGCGAAGAGGCCGGATTCCAACTGTCCCTTGCTGCACCAACGAACATAGATCTATCCGCTCTTCCGGTAGACTCGGTGGTCGTTACGTTCTCCGATGGTTATTATCCTGTGGTACTCCGACATTCACCCCCCATAGATGGCGAAGTGGCAGACACGGTTGTCCGGCTGGTGAAAATCGGAAAGGTGGCGCCGGAAGATGAAGACGAAGAGCCAGAGGAAATTTGCGCTGATCTTCGGTGGAGGCCAGGCGAGAGACTCGTGGTTTCCGGGAGCATATCTTCAGAAGCTCCTGGACCGCTTACTGTGCGTGCTGTCTTAGCAAAGTGTGACAGACAGTTTATTCGTCTTACAGGTCGTGAGCATCACTGTGATACTTGCACAAAACGACTGGATCATCGAAATGCCACATGAGTCATGCGTCTCTCATGAAATATCTAGGCTCGTGCCATGCTGGTTGACTTCACTCCAGCCGATCCGCTTTCTTCAGCTTGGGAGAAACGACTGCTCTAGTGTTATGTAAGTTGTTCCCAACAAGCACAGTGGATGGCGTGAACAAGTTTTTTACTCAGTGTTCGACATCGTCCTCATGAGCTCGCTGTCTCTTTATCTCATCAAGCTCCGGCACTACTCGATGAAGAGTATCCCATCGTCATCGATATCACGAACGTCGATGAGCGGCATTTGGATGTTGTTGTCGACGTCCTGTTGCAGCCGACGGAAGTAGATCAAGCAGGTTTGATGGTTTGATCTCTCGCTGACGTGCAGTGTTGATGCCCCGTTTTTAACAGCTCAGTGCATCATCTTCGATGACCAGCGTTCATCTGGATTGATCAAAGGCATCCGACTCGGCACCATCGCCCCGGGCGTGTCGGCTACCAAGACTCTTTACCTCGTGGGCAGTGGTGCTCCTGGTGATCGCACGTTAGACATCTCTATTCAATCTACTTCAGTCCAGCCTGGCTCCACGAGTGAAGGCGATGACGATGCGGAACATCCCCGCAGCTCGAGCTCCTTGAGTGCGCACGCGGCGGTTGATTCATGCGAGAAGTTGCAAACTATCGTTATCCCGACCTCTAGAACTCTGGCGATCACGTATGACGTGGCATACAGGAGAAGCAAGAACTCCATGCCTGCTTTGGCGGATCTGTCTACTGTTGAAGATGACTATTGGAATGACTCCTACGGCGGGGTGGCTGTGGTCACGACGAGAATAGAGTGTTCCAGTCCTTGTGGCTTGGTTATTGAGAGCTTGAAGCTGCATCGCCAGGTAGGTGGAATGAATTTGGAAGCACTGATTCAGAAATTGATCCCTTGAACAAGGATAATCCACTTGCAGAGGTACTCGACTGCTCGTCGGATGGCAGCAATGATATGTTTCCGGATGGTAAGTCGCTCTTCTTGCCATATGATTTGGCTAAATGAAGGTGTCAGAATACCTCCCTGGCGACGAGTTCTGCAACGTGAGCAGAATATCACTCAGTCCAAGGGAGGAGCAGGTTTCGGGCGAGGAGAAAATCCCTGGTCCTGGCGAGTATGAAGTCGTCTGGCGAAGGTAATTTGCTATGGTCGCGAAGCATTGATGACAAATTGACAACACTGAACTATATGCATTAGGGTACTTCCTGGAGGTAGTCGTGGAAGACAGTCGATCACGCGGTTTGCACTTCCGACGCTCGTGGTTCCACAGGATGGGTTAATCGCCCTTCTCGACCTCCCTAGCGCTGCGACACTCCATGTATCGACTCCCATACACTTAACAGTCCGTAACCGACACCCCTCCCGCTCCGCCAATGTCACTGTCACGCTTGACCTCGATCCCTCTGACGCGTTTATCGTGGCTGGCTTGCGGAACGGTCGTCTTCCGATCCTTTTGCCGGGCTCTGAGGAGAGGCTTTCGTGGAATTTGATTCCGATCGAATGTGGTCATGTCAAGATTCCGCATATCAAGGTTATGGACGTGCGACGCGCTGTCCAGCCTTCACATGGTGCTGGTGTGCCGAGCACAGAAGTTGATGTGGAAGGAGAGGCGATAAAGGTGGTTGATTTGCGTGCTGACTGGAACACTGTGAGCGCAGGCAACAATTCGGTTGCAACACCTCAGCAGGATGGTACAAGTACAATACTGGTACTACCATGATCATGATGTCGAACAAACAAAACATTATGCAAACCTCGGAAAGATACAAGGCAGCGATGGCTGTGCTGAAAGAGTCAGCTGACATCGATAGCTTACAGTGATACGGACTCTACGGAACCCCTGAGACGGTTATTATAAGAGTCGGTTAATCTTGACCTTCAACACACAGTTTCCCTTGTCCATTGACACTTGCAATGGCTATCCCAGACGAGAACATCCATCCCACCGCAACCGGCAACGCCGCCAAAACGGTCGTAGAACACCAAGCGAAGCAGGATTTAATATTCTACTCAGGATGGGTGAGTTTCTCCACTCCATCGCTAACGCCCAACATTCACATGGGAATGTGCATCTCGTCCAGTTCTGTCCTTTCAACCAGCGCGTCTGGATCTCTTTGGAGGAAAAGGGTATACCATATCAATACAAGGAAGTCAACCCATACAAGAAGGAGAAGCATTTCCTTGGTACGTTATCAACAACTGATCCTTGACGTCACGCGCCCATCACACAACCGCAGATATCAACCCCAAGGGCCTTGTCCCCGCAATAGAGTACCAGGGCAAGGCTCTATATGAATCTATCGTCCTGTGCGAGTTTCTTGAGGAAGCCTACCCCGACTACAAGCCTCATCTCCTCCCCATTGATCCATTCGAACGGGCTCATGCACGCCTGTGGATCGACCACACGTCGAAGATGATTATCCCAGCCTGGCAGCGTCTTCTGCAGGCACAGAGTAAGGAACAGGAAGACGCTGCGCGCCAGGAACTCTACGTTGCGCAGAGAAAGCTCGCGCAGCAGGTCAAGGGGCCGTACTTTGCTGGAGAAGAATTCGGTTTGGTCGATGTTGCTAATGCGCCATGGATAGCTCGGGAGTATATCCTTGCTGAACACCGTGGGTATGACAGGGCGCAAGTAGGCAACGGTTGGAGCGAGTATGTTGAGCGCATGGCTACACGCGAGAGCGTTAAGAAAACCACGAGCGTAAGTGTTTTTCGCTCGAAGGTGTTGGTCTGGCTTATTATGCCCTGGTTTTTAGGACGAAGACAAGCTTCAGGTTATCTATGATCGGTATCTTCGCGATGAAGCTCAAAGCGAAGCTGCGAAGGCTATCAGAGCTGGTAGACCTTTACCTTAGTACCAAACAAGACGTGCATGTAATGATAGATGGGAGCTGCAGGAAGTGTTATGTATGACAGTTTTTCGAATCAAGGCCTCGACAATCCGCCACAGCTATTTTCAGATCGATAGATCAGATTTCAGAATTTTCGCCGAAGCACCTTTGTTTACTTGTGCAAGTTATAGGGGGGTGGCACCTATTAGTCAAGATTGTTGCGGCTGCAGATGACGTCACCGAGGAGCCTTGTCTTAAACACACATCATGCTACATATGTCTGGTACAAAAGTTGTTTCACAGCACAATTGTGATATTTCCTCGACTGAATGGGCTGTCCAGCTTTACACATCACTCATATCTCTTTGTAATTTTGTAGGATCTTGCTCTTGATGCATCTTAACACAGGTCTCAAGTGGCAGGGCAAAATAATAATAATAATTGACGAAGTTTTAGCACAAGTGTGAAAGGTACAGGTGGTGTGAAAGGTACCGGTAGTATACTGTATATCATTCAAGTAAAAGAACGCACTTGGCATTAGTCGGTAATCTAGGCCCCTGAGGTAGGGGCCGAGGAACGAGGTCCTCTGCCGATGATGGGCATATATTTGAGTCTTGGTTGAAGGGCCCAGGCTGACCACCGCTTTGCACCAAACCTGCTGTCCGCCGTCTCCGAAGATAAGGTGCAATCGGGGATGGGAGGGAACGGCTAGTAAGGGGGGGAAGGGTTCTAAAAAGAAAAGCGGTTTTGACCTCGCGAAGGGTCTCGTCAGGGGGTTTACCGCTACCCCAACCGCCTTACCTCTGCTAGTGTTTAGCTATCGCTGCTCCTCAGCCTTTTATGTAGAAAAGGAGTCCGGAGCACAGACCCCTCGCGATGAGGGCCGGTCCTTAACCTGATCTAGGGGAGTGTACGAATCGGGGTATCTCTTATCGCGGCGAGGACACTCTCACCAGGCATAGGCCCCATGATGGCGATAAGAGCACGGGCGGATACGACAGGTTTCCCTTATCGCACCGTACTTTACCGCGTGCTTGCACTAGCCCGATACGACCAAGAGCTCGAGTTGCACCTAGAGTATACTGATCCACCACTTTTTAATGGAATGCGAAGGGAGGAAAATGACAACCATTCAAGACCAGTTGGTTATTATTCACAAGGGTGTATATCCAACGTCCACCCAAGCTCTCATGCGATCTCCGTAACGAATCGTGAGAACAATAAGCCTACACACAACATAAGACGTGGTGGGCGCGAGTGTTCTACAACGGCACTCACCCATATCCAAAAATCGCAATCACTGTAGCTATGCCATTTGTTCCTGCCACACCCAGCATCTCAATCGATGGAAGTACAGCTGCAGTCACTGGCGCAAGAATGATCGCGCGGAAAGCGCTGCGGAATTGGTTAGTATGAAGCGCACAGCTAGCTTTGCGTACTACTCACGTAACTGCGGCAATTACCTCTGCGCTGCATGACTGTAGCACGTCGATGTTGTACGAGCCGATCGGAGTGAGAACGAAGTCTACCTGCATAAAATGTAAGGCTTGACAAAACATATGCCAGTTTACGACTCACTCCAACGCCATTCATAAACAAACAAAGCAAATTCAATACCAACCCCAACGGTCCAGCGATGTATGTGGTAATCAGTCCCGAAAGACCAACAGATAAAGGGACGAGGAGTCCGCCTACCAGCACTGCACGGAGCCGATCTTCAGGGACCCAAATGCCTTTGCGCTTCGCCTTCCATCTTTCGATCATAGTGTCAGACAACCGCCCAGCAATTGGTGAAGCAACTTAGGTACGAATCACGTTTAATATTAAGACACTCCAACAGCAGAATATGTACATACTGAAGTTTCCAAGTCCATTGGGAAGGAAGCATGCACCAATCAGTGCCTCGTTAGAGATGTGGTATCGAGCACCCTGGAATCAGATGTCAATTGACAGCATGATTAGCTAGTATGACAGACTCACGATCGTGTATGCAATTGGGACCAATAAAACTAGTACGTAGGTTATTAAGTCTGGAAGATGACGTTGGCATTCTCTACATACCATAATCCGTAACCATCGCTGATGCGTTTGCTAATGTCTGAGAACAAGACTTCAGGCAATGTAGAATCAGATGAAAGGGAAGACGAACGACAGCCATAATATTTGGACTACGGAGCAGCCAGAGACTGCTGAAAGGATTGATCCACACGAAGTTGAATGGTGTCTTCGGCTCACGAATCACTCCGGAATGCGAATGACTTGTCTCCGGGAAGGACACATAGATCAAAACCATCTCAATAATACCCCATAATCCAAGCGAGTAGTGCAGGTTGCGCCATGACCAGTAATGTGCCGCAGTGCCTCCTATAATAGGTGACAGCGCAACGCCCAGAAGAGAAGCCTGCACAAGAAAGGATAAGGCGCTGAAACGTTTGCTCGTTTATCATATACAAGTACACACGTACCCCAAAGAAAATACCCAATGCTGTACCTCGCTGCTCAACCCTGTAGATATCGCCAATAACGGCTGCACCTACCGATATTCCGCCAGCGCATCCAAATGCCTGAACAAATCGCCAGAACAGTAGGCTTGCGAGAGACGTTGACGCTGCAACGCCGAAGCTTCCTATGCATAGGATGGGCATACCCCACAAGTACATGGGCCGGCGTCCATCTTCGGGCGAAAATGAAGTTGTAATTCAAGTAAGCAACAGCCACGGAAAACCTACAAAATGAGGAGTATGCTGCCCATACCAAACCCCCGATCGCATTCGCAAATACTGATAAACTTACGGCCAAGCTGAGGACACTAGGGTCACCATCTAGTTCGTGCTGTAGGATTTAAAAACATACCTAACAACAGCACCCGTTGAATCAAGGTCAAGAGCTATCTGAGGGATGGAAGGGACGAAGGTCCCAGTTACAACCGCTAGAAACCCAAAATCAACTCGGTCACATAATTTATATTTTTCCTATACACACCAGGGAGCAGCCCTGCAAAGGACACTACGAAGACGATGAAGTTTTTATGAGCCTTGCTGAACCGGTCGTACACATCCAAGGCGTCGGGGACCTGACGTGCACCTACCCAAATTAGAGGGCTCTCTTCCGAGAAGGACATGGTTGCAGTAGACAAAAGATCTTGTCCTGCGTTTTGACAGTCTTGAATTTGAGAGAGTTAGTATAAAAGTGTTTCTGGTTTGCCATTAAGCGGTTCTAAGAATAGTCCAAAATATGGAAATTGAAGTGGCCTCAGCCGGATCCCGTCGGACGGTTCTCTTACCCCAAAGTTCGGGATCATGATTGGATGAGGACAGCGGATTTCAATTTCGGACACAGATGATCTCATGACAGAGCCTTAAAATAGCATGAAACACGATCCATTGTTAACTACACTTGTAGCCTATCTATCATAAGCATAACACAAAATACAATGTCGGACCACCCCCAATAATCGAATAGTATCATACCGCCGAATACTTAGCATATAATCTAAGGTTACCTGGTCTTGAAGTCTTAATGTCACCTAATGAATCAGCTCGCTGTCTGCAGTGTGCGACTGCCAGGGATATTTAATTCCACCCTTGCTGGAGCCGTAGGAGAGTCATTAGAGTCCGGGCAACGGCAGCAACGACCGGATTTCGTCGAGGATCTGCTTGCGCGATCCAACAGATCTCTAAGTGCAGATGAACAGGAACGGTCACTAGATGATGACACCATTGAGCCGCTTGATAAGAGAGTTCGTTGACTCTGTCATACAAATGAGCAAGGAGACCCAAACAGAGGATAGAAGTACTCACTAGTTGGTTTGTGATCCATTCCAGGTAAGCCTTGAGCTGTCGCAGGTTGGCAATGACAGCCTCCAAGCCCGCTACGAAGGCCTGTACGCTCTCTTCTTCAACAGCTCTGGGATCTAGTCTTTGACCAGCAAAGACGCCCCATATCGAGCGCCTGGGAGCAGCTGCTTCACGACTTTGCATGCTCGCCCAAACTTTTGGGAGATTACGTGATAGCTGGTGATGAAGAGCTTCCAAGTCGGGCATAATGCCCTCCGTTTTTGATAAGATGGACGAGTATTCGAGAAGCAGATTAGAAGTTGCCAGTAGGAACACGCTATCTAGACGTGATTCCCGAGCGGCACCTCTTCTTATAAGAAATGCCGTTTGACTGCGCTTGGAATGATATATCACCTCGTCTAGGGCATGAGAGATCTGTAACGATGAGCACCATGATGTTGAGGAAAATTTTTGGCTTACCGTTCTCCCGATGAAACCGTGCGGCAACAGGGTTTGGGATGAGAGTGGAATCAAGACCCTTGAAGTCGACAGTCGAATTGACTTCTGTTTTGCTCCCCCCAAAGGGAGAGTCGCCCCTGGACCTGCTTAGAAAACGTTGCACACTTGCACTGGTTGAGCTTCAATGGTTTCAAGGTACTAGAAATTCTACGTACTTGGTATGATGATACGCAAAAAACGCGTCGTCACCTAATCCCTCGACCAACGTCAATAAATTGTGTGCCTGGTCTATTTGCTCAGAGAGGAAGTTCAGAGTCGCCGCTTCGCTAGCGCGGGGATGTAGTGTGGTAGTGGTCTCCATATGACTAGTTGCAGTAGCCGTTGACGTGAACTGCTCGACCATTGGGCGTATGAAGCCACTTCCATAGTCGCCCCGCACGGACTAACGGATGTCGTTCAAAACCAAAACAATCAACCAGAATCTGAAAGCATGACTCACAGGGTAACTCATCAACATCGTCACCTCGATTACAAAAGCAACGACAGCAAGCCATTGGACGGTGGCAATCGTTGCATGAAAGACCGATGTTGCAGCCGCCGAGATCACCTGGTACACATGCATCATACATTGCGAGACTCGCCTCAGGAAGCGCATTATCTCGTCGATATCGTCCTGTTCAGCACTCCGGCATTGCGTTGGTCGTCTAAGTGGGAGTGCGCGGTGGTGCGTGAGGGGTGTGCGGTACATGGATGTATAGACGCGCCGAGAACGGCTGTCCAAAGGTGAGTCGGGACTGAGGAAGCATTCGACAACTGAGTTTATTGGTACGGTTGTCGGAGATTGGCAATACTTCATAAAGGGGGCTTGTAGTCTTAGCGTTGAAAGGTCCAATGGTGCAAGGGGTGGACGGGTGGTGCGGGTGCGAGTGCTAGTCATACCGTCTTGACGAGTCGTACCGTAAAAATAATAAGCAACAGCTGCTCCAGTCAGCTGGGGGGTCGTAAAGCGAGACGTTGATCAGATTGTCCTCCGCCTCATATTTATTGAGAGAAGTTGGCGCTGGGAACAGATCGAGGCAGACAAAAGGCCTCGGTCAGACTGTTCGAGAAAGTCATGCTTCCTGCACTGGACTTGTGAGTCAACCAAAGTCGATTATCGCGCTGCGGCTATTGTCTTTGCTATGGTGATAGACGCGCCGCAAATACTCGGTGTAAAGTTCCCCATGGGCACTGTGCCAGTCTGATTGTGACAATAAGATAGCAGTCTAAATATGGTAGGAACGTCGAAGCGGAAGTAAAAGTTGGATGCACTCTTGCTTCCATGTGCGGCTTACTAGCCCGTATACGTACGGCCTGTTGCTACTTACGAGCGTCGCAATTGAACTTCTGCGTAAAATAATAATGCTGACTGCATCCTTTTGTCTGAGCTTGCTTGCCTTAGCTATAGTAGGTCTCGACATTCTTCTGACCTTAACGTTGCCGGCATCAGCTCATGAGCAAAAAAAACCCACAGGCTGCAACAGTACCAGTCGGTTCCTCTTCAACTGCCGATGCAGTAAGGAGTGGCTATTAGCGAAGCGTCACGTTTTCAATTGTCATGCTCATGTGTTTGCAAGGCAATCTCATTAACGCAATTGAAATGACTGCGATCAAGTGCAAAAATCTCCGTGCAGATACATACAGACTGAGGGGGGAGGACGTTGTCAGATAATAAAAAACAGATCGGCCCGACCACTGCACGAGCTATGCAGCGGCCGAGTACAAATCAGAATCATGTAAGTACTAAAGTATGTTTGAGCGGTACTTTTTCTCATAATCTAATAAATGCGTGTGGGCGTGAGTGCAGAGTAGATGGATGTGTAATAATAGAACAGCAATGCGATAGGCGAAACCAAGATGCGGCAGTGTTGACGGGAACGGCGGAAGGAACAAGAAGCAAGATGGAGAAAGGGGGAGGGCGCTTAGTCCTTCTTCTCCTCCTTGCTCTCCGAGCTGCTTTCTGACGAAGCGTTCTCAGCATTCCGCTTCTCGTACACCTTCTGGAAGAGGCCGAGCGAGGCTTGTTGAGTCTCATTGATCTTCTCCCGGATTTGCTCAGCGGTAACAGAGCCGTCGCCAACCTGACCCTTGGCAGCAAGCTCGCGAAGTTCGCCGACGAGCTTGGTGACCTTCTCCTTCTCAGCGGCATCGAGTTGGTCCTTGAATTCATTCATGGCTACAGACATGCACGTCAGTACGACGCGGGGATAAAGCAATAAAAGCGTACCTTTCTCAGTGTCGGAGCAAACGGACTCGCCCTTGTTGGATTCTTCGATAAGATCACGACGAGCCTTGTCAGATTCGGCGAACTGCTCTGCATCCGCAACCATGCGCTCAATATCCTTGTCGCTAAGACCCGACGAGGAGGCGATAGTCATCGACTGGTCCTTGTTGGTGGCCTTGTCCTTGGCAGCCACGTTGACAATACCATCAGCATCGATGTCGAAGGTGATCTCGATCTGAGGAACACCCTTGGGAGCAGGGGGGATGCCGACGAGGTTGAAGTTGCCAAGAAGCTTGTTGTCCCGGACAAGCTCACGCTCGCCCTGGTAGATCTTGACCTCGATGGCTGTCTGACCATCAGCAGCAGTGGAGAAGACTTGCGACTTCTTTGTTGGGATGGTCGTGTTACGACTGATGAGCTTGGTCATGATACCACCGAGCGTCTCGATACCAAGCGACAGGGGCGTAACGTCGAGGAGGAGGATATCCGTGACATTGCCCGCCAGCACACCACCCTGAATGGAGGCACCGATGGCGACAGCCTCATCGGGGTTGACACCTTTGCTGGGATCGCGACCGAAGACGCTCTTGACCGTCTCCGTGACCTTAGGCATGCGGGTCATACCACCAACGAGGATGACCTCGTCGATCTCACTGGCCTTCACACCGGCGTCAGAAAGGGCCTTTCTGCACGGCTCAATGGTACGCTTGATAAGAGATTCGACAAGATTCTCCAACTGCACGCGTCCAAGCTTCATGTTGATGTGCTTGGGGCCAGATGCATCGGCGGTGATATAAGGTAGGTTGATCTCTGTCTGTGTTGTCGACGAAAGCTCGATCTTGGCCTTCTCAGCAGTTTCACGGATGCGCTGAATAGCTATCCGATCCTGGCTGAGGTCAATGCCACTCTCCTTCTTGAACTCCGCCAAGATGTGGTTGAGAAGAACAATGTCGAAGTCCTCACCACCAAGATGAGTGTCGCCGTTAGTTGACTTGACTTCGAAAACACCCTTCTGCATCTCCAAGATTGAGATATCGAAGGTACCACCCCCAAGGTCATAGACGGCAATGACGGATGAATCAGCACGGTCCAAACCATAGGCAAGAGCAGCAGCGGTAGGTTCATTGATTACCCGCAGCACTTCGAGACCTGCAATTTGACCAGCATCTTTCGTTGCTTGTCGTTGTGCGTCGTTGAAGTAGGCGGGTACGGTGACGACGGCGTGGCTAAACAAAATGAGCTTATGTCCGTACCACAGGCACAGATTTCTTACGTGACTTTCTTGTTCAAGAACTGCTCGCTGGTCTCACGCATCTTGACAAGAACCATCGACGACAACTCCTCAGGGGACTAGAGGATCAAATTGAGGGCACAACAATGGCACCAGGTGGGCAAGACACATACGTATTGCTGTTTTTTGGACCCGGCTTCGACTTCGACGGCTGGCCGACCATCAGCTTTTGCCACGACACGGAAAGGCCTGCCTATCATGAGCGACTATATATGTACAGTGTAATACTCCACTCACCAATGTTTTACATCTTCTTGCACCTCCTTGTCACTGTATCGCCGACCGATCATCCGCTTGAATGCAAAGACCGTGTTGGCAGGGTTAACAACGGCCTGACGCTTTGCAGGTAAGCCGACCAGACGTTCGCCGTGTTTCGTGAATGCAACAACAGAGGGCGTTGTCCGGGCACCCTCAGAGTTCTCAATGACACGCGCGGTTTTCCCCTCCATGACGGAAACACATGAGTTTGTCGTACCCAGATCAATACCCACAACAGGACCTGTGAAATGTAAAATGAGTATCTTGAGCCTAGCTGCGGTGATATGAACACACCGGAGACTTTGGAGTTCATGTTCCTCGCGATCAAAGACCGCGGAATGGCCTGTTCAAATTAGGTTATCAATGCGTTCGACAGTAGAATAATTCAAGTACGCACGGCATAGTTGCCAGTGCGGGCAACGGCGCTGCGGAGGGAACGAGCTGCAGTGAACATGGAGGAAAAGGTCGAAGAAGTTGACTGGCAAATTGGACACGGTGATTCAAAATTTTAGGGAGTCCGCGTAACGCTTACATCAGCCCTAAAGAAAGTCCGAGAAACGTGGAACCTTCCGGACTCATTCTTGGCAAGCGAACAAGTACTAGTAGCTATGTAAGGCTAAGACTGCTAGCATTTACAGTTTGCAGTATACAAACAACGACGTGATTTGTACGTCTTCTGGTGAGTTCGAAGTGACTGGCTAGGCGCGGTGCATCGGGTGCAGCGTTTATTAGTGTGAAAGTTCCCGGGACAAGTGATACTAATAGCCTGATTCCGGCCTGCAGTGCTCACCGGTCCCCTTGAGTACAACCTTGACCTCGATCCCTACATTCACCATCATGTCCGGTAATGCGCCAAAGAACATCGGAGGCGAATATGGTGCCATTCGCGCCAACGTTGACATCCAGAAGCTCAATACATACCTGAAAACACATGTGTCAGTTATCGCTGCTCCCGTAGAGGTGCAGCAGTTCAAGGTGCGGTCGAGACCTCTTTTGGGGACATTGCAAGTTGACTGGCAGGATAGTTTGGACAGGTACGCTCATGATTTAGTGTGCACAACCTCGCATGACGTTGGACTGTGCAGTCTAATCCAACATACTTCTTGACCGATGCAAGGTAAATCCATCGTCAGCTACTCCCACTCAAATTAAATACCCTCAGCACGAAGCGGTTTGTGTTGCGCAAGAAGCCAGCAGGCCAGTTGTTGTCTTCAACTGCTCACCAAATCGAACGCGAGTACCGCATTCTGAGTGCATTACATCAATTCAATATTAGTCCTACCACAAAGCCAGAGCAGAAAGTCCCTGTTCCGCAACCTTTTGTCCTGTGCGAGGACAGCAGCGTTATCGGCACTCCTTTCTATATCATGGAATACCTTGAAGGACGAATCTTCACAGACACCAGGATGCTGGAACTTCCACCTCAGGATCGAAGAGAATGGTGCTCTTTGTTTAATCTCTTTTATTGTATCCAGAGGCTAAGTCCGATTATTTAAAGCTGGCTCTCAGCTATCCGCTCGCTGGCAGCATTGGCCTCTCTCGACCCATTTCAAATAGGTCTCGAGAACTTTGGTCCCACGACGGATTACTTCCCCCGTCAAATTAAATCTCTTACACGTATATCGGTTGCTCAATCCAAGGCTGTAGACAGTCGAGACTGGAAAAGTGACGGGGAATGTTCCATCCTTTGAAGACATGGTCGACTGGTATCAGAATCACCTTCCGGACGAAAGGAAGACTGGACTGCGGGTTGTCCACGGGGACTACAAGCTTGACAACATGATATTCCACCCGACGGAGAATCGGGTAATTGGCATACTGGACTGGGAGTTATGTACTCTAGGTAGTCCAGTACGTGCAGTCATTCCTGCCTTCTGCATTTTGATCCGAGTTCACTGCATAGCTCGCTGACCTTGCGAACCTCACCCAACCATGGGCGATTGACGCTCGCCATATACCCAAGGATTCCACGATCAGTGAATTTACGGTCATCAAGCCATTCAAGAATGCAACGAAAGATGTTCCTATACCCTTGGAAGACCTTGAGCACGAGTACTGCAGGCTGACGAACCAGCCATATCCCATCAAAGAGATGGTCTTTGCCCGTAGTTGGATGCTCTTCCGGGTACGTACTATACCCTGGTGCATGCAAATAGATATTGACCTAGTTGTTTTTAAGCTTGCTATAATTTCGCAAGGCATTGCTGCCAGATATGCGCGCCGGCAGGCGAGCTCTGAGAACGCTTTTATACACCCACAGTTCTTCCCTTTTGTTGGTCAGCTGGCGAAGTCAGTCTTAGAAGATGATGGATTCATTATTGGCGCGAAGCCGAAACTGTAGATATTATAGTGTCAGGAAGTTCTGTATCTCCTATACCTGTGAGAGTTTCACAGGGTTTAGCCGCAAGCCTGTGGATAACGAGTGTCCAAGTGATCTATCAATTGGGACACAGCTGGCCGGGTCCCCTCCTCTGCCCAACAGGCCTCCAGCATTGACCATAGCCCACTTGTTACCCGAGGGTACTGATGCCTGCTGGGTTTTCCCCTTCGGTTACAAATTTCATAGATTAGCTCGCTGTCTTCCCTCTTATTGACATACGGAATCATGCCGGATAAAATCTAGCAACGCGCTTAGTATCTGCAAAATTCGGTGACAGCGTTTGGCGAACACACCTCTAGGCCCGTCATACCTGCCGACCAGATGTCTGATTGCTTGGTAGCTAGTGGTGCTTTTGTCGAATGGGAACTGGGATCCATCAACTCGCGCGCCATATAACGAAATGTGCCAGGCGCTTGTGGACTCGTGGTTGTGAAACCAGAAGCTTCGAGGACCCGAGAAAGGCCAAAGTCCGTCAAAACTGCGCTAAAAGAGTCGTCGATAAGAACGTTTGACTGCAAGGAGCATCACATGAGTCGTTATTCCATGCAGACAGAAAACGTGCGCTGACAGGTTTGAGGTCTCCATGGATGACCTTTTTGTGGTGCAAATATGCTAGTCCAGACAAAAATTGGCGAAGCTGTCCAGACACCCTTATATATGCGCGACCCCGAATGAAATAGATAATTACTCACAAATTTCAGTCTCTGGCTAGTCCTGAATGTTTCCCAGGTTGTCTTTAAGGGTTCTTCTCTCATAAAACACTGATACCAGGCGGGGGGTAGCATATCCTCCCACTTCCCGGTGATAATACATGCCGATGAATCGAGCCACGTTGGGGTGGTCTAGCGTGCTCCATACTTTAGCCTCTCGCTTGAGTTTCTGAAAAGTCAGGCTCAGTAACAAGGATAACCTACGACGAAAAGGTTTACCCGTATGGTTTTCTCGGCAAGTCGTCTGTTTGACAATAACGCTGATCTCAATATCTTCACCGCTACCTGCATTGAGGGGTGAGTGCGTTACACGTCACTAGTGACCAAGCAGCACGTACGACAATTGCTCTACGACCTGGCCGGGTGTAGGTTCCCTTCCACACGTCTGCGAAGTTACCCCTACCGAATTCTTTGTGGCCAATCGTCACGACCACCCCCGTGGTGGACAAATCAGGTACAGCGATATTTGCGAGATTGAAAGTCATTGTGGAAGAGTATGGGGAACTAACAAAATGAGCACCCGTGGATGGATTACAGACGGAAAGTAGATGATGATTTCCATGCTACCTGAGTAGTCCAGCTTAAGTACTGTTCTTGTACAAGGTGAGGGTCATCGGGCCCTAAGATAGGTCCTGGCAACGCTGATCATCGAGTGGGGAAAATGACCATGGTGACGGTGTATAACATGCAGGTTATTGTGCGAGCAAAACAAGATACGTAGTATTACGTACGTCAAAGCTCGCTTCAAGGCTCACCATGTCGGGCTGATCTTAAGTTAGTCACGGTAGTCTGGGTCGTTGCCAGGGAGGGTGCATTCGCCATTCGGTTCAACCGGTGTCCAGCAATCAAGTACTGTGGTCGGTTGATATGATCAGCTAGTTACATTGTAAATATTGTAGTGACAGGTCCCCGACATGTGACACGAAACGCATGCGTGCGAATTCAGCTCGTGCAAGCTCGTTGATAATATTACATATAATTACTTACCATGGACTCGATGGACCTCCGCCAGCACTGTGAGCACTACGGAGAACGCTCGGACTGAACGCTGGCGGATCTTACCGTGACAGGATCCGCTTTGTTCTTCGGGCAACGTTGTTTCCGTATAGACGGCAGTCAAATGGTGCGTCCTGAGTCTTGACATCCGCAATTATAATATTTTGCTTGGTTCCTGTGCAAAGAGCCAAGCACTCCCGGCAGCTTGAGATTACCTGTTGTACTGTGCTCCTACCTCAGTAGTAGTAACCGCCAGCATGTAACCTCTTCAAAGGCTGAATGATGGTTGTAATTTGCAACCGGAGCCTGAGCGCATATTTAGATGGTATGTATCATACTTTTTGTTCTCTCCTAGTTATAGTACTGACAGTTTTGCATTTATTTTCTTCTGTAGGTGTGATTCAGATCAACTCTCTGAATGATATATACGTTACGCCACTGCAAGAAATTATCCTTTTCTCTCTACGCATCCCCTTTTGCATTTCGGATACGCACGCCAGCGACAAGTGCGTGCATATTAGTACAACATTCACGGATTGTGTGTTGGACGTCGCCACCGTGGCACGAGATGTCTTGCGTATGGTTTTAGGATACTGCTTCCAAAATGAAGAAAAGATCGAGGTGTGCAGGCGCGCTTCAATCAGCCTCTAGTCCTGGCAGTGTTCCCTGATGCTTCAAGGGAGTAAATAGCTCAGGGTCGATTTATTTTTCTATATATTCGTTCACTATCTGATAGCGTAGGAGTGCAACATAGCATAATTTATTCTAGAGGACTGAGTCAAATCACTCATGGCTCATGGCTGTCGAGTGCCGCTCCCGTCGTCCCTGCTCTCGGGCCGTCACTCTGGCGTAGTCAAGGTGGTCCTCCTTGGCCATGTGATACGTGTCAGTCCAAGAGATCAGTTTGCCGTACGCATTTTAACAGCTCACTTTGAAGTTCTGCTTGTTAAGGTCATATGAAAAGTTTCGGATCAGGCTAGGATATTCTCCAGCCCATGCAGGGCTGCTAGGCAAGGCCCTTATTACCTGAACGACAAGAGGGTTGGACAGGTAGAAATAGAACTGCCAACAGGCCACCGATAGTCCAGGGTAACCCTTGTTGGCCCTGTGATCTTCGATATCCTTACGACCTCATTCCGTTGATAAGTAGCTCGCTATTGAAGACACTGATTCGTAAGCATCAACAGGAAGTATGGTGCCGTACACTCCGTACGGCGTACAAGTGACATTTAACCGTCGGACCACCACAACCCTTACGAGATGATGAAATTCCGTGTTTTATAAGTACTCTATGTCAGTGATCAGCGGTTCAAACGTTCACCACTGACACTTTGAATTCGCCATTCGATCTGCACACTTTCCATGTCGGAACTTGAACAATATTCATATGATCTCCGCTGGAATAACAATATGGCTGGTTTGTCCCCTCCGTTGAACCTATGTAGTTCTAAACGAATCATCTTGTTGACATTCATCGTTTTTTTTAGTTGTAACCATTACCCTGGTAGTTTATGACTACAGTCAGTAGCTTTCATGGACTTTGCACTGCAGCTGAGCATCGGACTACCTAGTACTTCAGTTCGAGAATGAGGTAACGAAAAGCTCGGTTTCTCTTGGTCGAGTCCTCATGATCATATTGCCCCAGGTCCAGTTTGTTTGGGTTAGTGTTTAATCCCCCTTCCGCATCAAGCCCCGGAGACTAACTGAATGTCCAGGGAAGACAGTTGTCAGTGATGGCATATCTTTACCTTGCTGTGAGCTCTGCCCTGCCAAGGTGCTTCATGATTTTTCACTTTGTTGCTCGACCAGGTTCGATATCTTGGTATTTTCCTTGCAATGTACGTCTTGGTGGTTGTGTCCTTCCGATGATACATTGTATATTGACGCTGACCCTAGGCTTTGCGCCTTGTGTATGTGATGTTGTGTCAACTGAGCCATCATGAGCTGACTAGCATTAGGGGGAGGACTGATATATATGCCTGTGTCAGTGAGTTTTTGACGCTTGCTACCTTTAGAGAGTTTTCTGCTGATATTTTAGTCGTACGTCACGAGTTCCTTTTACATCTAAATCTCAATAGCCGTTGACCTCTTATACAGCTGTGAGTATATCGTCTTCAACTGAAACTGGGTTTGCCCATTATGCAATTGAAATAGGCTACCCTCTTGTTATTTTGATACAATGGTGTTTTTCTGCATATTTTTGCTTGTCGGAAGGTAAGTCATATATTCTCGCATCCCAATGCGCGTAACGATTTTGCATCCGCAGTCATTCTCATCTGGCGTCTTTATGTTCTATACAACCAATCCAAGCTCCTACTTTATGGTCTACTAGGGTTGTTCCTACCTGTCGTCGCGCTCTATATAGGGATGGATATTTTTTTATACAGTCGACCGTCAGCGTTGTCAGGTGAATTTTTACTTGAGTTTAATACTGGGCAAGCTGACGTCTCGTTGCATAGTGCAAGAAATAATAACTCCGAACTTCGAGTACTGCGCGACTTCCTTCCACATGGGGCCTATGCCTGCGATATATGCTTCCATCCCCGTCATGTGCTTTGATATTTTTTTAGTGGTTCTCGCAGCTGCCATCCTCGTGAAACACATGAAAGATCGGAGGGAAATTGGAATGAGGCCTAACGCCTATGTGTTAATGATCGTGCGATATCATATCATATACTTTGTCCTGTAAGTTCCCCTTCGTCTATTGGATTCTCTGAACGTATTCATTAAATCCCGCTAGAAATTTGGCAACTCAAATCTTCATGGTGTTGGTATGGGCCAACCTTTCGGTACGAGCTCCCATGGATCTGGAGAGACCAGCTATAATGCAGACACGCACAGATCCCGGTGTTCAGTGTCATAATGACGTTCAGCGATACCGTTCCATTTATTATGGTGCCCCGTCTGATCATCAGCATTTGGGATACGCATGCCAACATCAAGTGCGTATATGTCAGTACGACATTCGAAGATTGTGTATGTTGGACCTCGCCACCGAGATTTGAGCAGTACGAGATGGGCTCCCGTGCAGAATGGCTCCAAAATCAGGATGAATGAACGATTCAGGGAGACTCGGAGAGAGGTGGTTAAACCCTCAGACGTAAACTCTAATACTTTTACTCCGCAGCAGTAAGTAATTCAGGGCCGAGTTTCCATGTATCTACGTAACTAAGTATATCTGATCTGATAGTGTGAAAGTGCAGCATAGTACGATATCTCCGACACCCACTTTAGTGGAAGAGCCTGAGGGTTCTGTCGGCCAGATTCGTGCAGGCACCTGTACAGTCATTCACACAACATAAGATCTAATTGTGGTGTGCTTTTCGAGACAGATGAGAGGCTAATAAATACTTAGCTATAAGCAGTACTTCAAAATTTTGTCGCGGGGAGCATGTCGGCTGGCCGATTCAGAAGAACGAGGCCGAGTCGGGATGCTGGGATCAGTTCAGCCACTCAAAACTCAATAGATAAAGTTCGAGCCGGACTGATATGCATGACGGAGTGTTGGCGCTACAGCCCAGCTGTTGATTTCGGTCAGACAATCAGTGTAATCACTACCCACAAGTAGGTGTCCGCGAAGACCGTAAAAGGTTAATACAATTGCGCGGGTCTAGATTAAACAGACTCTCTCAGATCGTGCGCGCGAAGGTAAACGTCTATAGTATTCACCTAGATTAAACAGACTCTCTACGGAAAGTGAGCATAGGTGAATGAAAGTGAAAGCTAGGTATCTTACCTCAGATCGTGCGCGCGAAGGCAAACGTCTGAGGTAACGGCTCGCATCAACAGTAGCTAAATAGATCGAGTGATCTTGTAAGGACGAGTAAGTGTATGAAACCATAACAATAAGTAAAACGGCGCTGGCCAAAGCGATCAAAAGATTCAGTAAGTACAATCAGTGAAACATATCATAAGAGCGCACAATCAAAGAAGCATACGTGTCGCTGGACAATAACGAAACAGATAACAAGATCATACAACGATGCGCTCGGCTGCGGGCGCGCTTGTTATTCCAACAGACCGGTGCGGCCGAGCGCCGTTACGATAGTCACTGCTGAAGCGCTAATCCATACATATTATTATTAGGTCAGCTGCCGCGTGAGGACCGTCCAGTGTCAAGGTGTCAAACGGTTCCACCAAATCTCATGCACATGCTTCATGACCACCGTCGCACAAGGTTGCCCCTACTTTATATCTTACGACGTATAGCTCTTTTTGATTAGAAGACCAATTGACGGCTCCCGGCGCATCGCACGCGGCACGTTACTTTGGCACAGGTGAGCAGAGGCGTTGAACACATCAAGAAAGTTCAACGTTTAGCTTTGGTGGACGTTTGGGAAGATGCCAAACTCCCTGACACGTAACATGGGCCTGCGACTGGGACCAATAGTCCTGGAAACATTGGTCAAACATTACTTCGATCGTATCAAGAAGGAGAATGCACAGCATTCCAACTTTGCAACACAGCTGCACCAGGATGAACTTCTCTACCATGAAGCGTTCAACATTGTAAAGGTGCGTTTCGTAGCGAATCATTTGAGTACCCCCGAGCTTAGTGTGGACTGCAGAGTTTCCTCGAGGCTGCGACAAAGTACGTACACAAATACGATTGCGCATGCTAATGTCTAACAGTGACCCAGTCACACTATGGAGGAAGTCCAAGCATTCTCGAACAACCGGACGCCGTCTCTTCCCTCGGTCCATGTTGTGCGTTTATTAGTCCCAGTGTCCTGCTGCGATGAGGCTGCCAGCTACATCGTACAAGCGCTCGGTGGAGAAGAATTCGCCAAGCGCTTAGTCGGTGGCACAAAGTGGTGGCAAGTGCGTGGTGTCAAAGGGTAATATCCATGCCTGTCACTGACACCAAGCGTTGTTTATTCAATCTCATTCATCTAGTGTCGATGCGGAGTGGATCACGGCTCGAAAGGACTATCAAGAGGCGAAGAAGCGGAGAAAAGCGAAACATGAAAAGAGCTTAAACACTGAAATACCCGCCAGTGAAAGCGATACCCCGACCTCAAGTGGACTGCCAGCCTCCGATTCAAATGAGAGTAATACCTACAGGGAAGAAATGGATGAAATGCGCTGCATACTATACGCTCACGGAGGTTTGTGTCTTGGTCAAATAAAAAGCATACATTAACAATTCTTAGGGGGTTACTATTTTGGAAGCGTTGATCTGGAAAGGTACCTTCTGGTTTTCCTGATCGACAACATCGGTAAATTTACAGTATTATTCAGAATAAGTATCCAGCGGCATGCAAGAAAGATCAACGGTCGTGTTTTTGGTCAGTCATTATGCTCTCCAGGATAAGTCGATTGTTGCTGAGTAGACGATAGCTGTCAACTACCGCCTGGCTCCGCAGTATCCCTTTCCCTGCGCCTTGCAAGATCTTCTTGCCGCTTGTATGTATCTTTCTTTCACAAGTACTGAGCACAAAGTTCTAACGGACTTACCCTTGAGACCTTTACTTGATCAAACCTCCTTCTGATGCGTCCCACCAGCCAGTACAACCAGCACATATCGTTGTCGCAGGAGATTCCGCCGGGGGCGGTCTAACCCTCGCATTATTGCAAATCTTGCGCGACACTGGACTCCCATTACCTGCAGGAGGGATCTTGATTTCTCCTTGGTGCGATTTAACACACTCTTTCCCGAGTGTTCATACCAACACCGCCACGGTAGGCTATCAGTGGAACTATGCAACGGTATGCTAACCCTCCAGCCTACCATACACAGGATGTAATTCCTTTGTACGGACTGTCATTCCACAAACCGAGTCCCTTGTGGCCTCCGCCGTCAGATGAAATGACCCACAGCGTCCGTTCTAAATTGCGCGAACGAATTCGTCAGATGGTCCGGCTTGAGTCGAAACAGGATAAGAACGACGCTGAATCCTTGGATGTCCGTATACATCACGATTCAAAGGGTGCATCGTCGCTTAGCGGAAACGGAGATGTCCGGTTCAGCGAAATGCCTATTGATGTGGGCGCTACTGCTCCACTACCGTCAGTCGACAAGAAAGAAGATCAGACTATACGGCTCCTAGCCAAGTCAGGTGAATTATTAGTATTAGAAGAACAAGTGCACATCTATGTCCAGAATAGCTTGCTCGGACACCCACTTGTTAGCCCGGCGCTCTCGTACCTGGGAGGCTTGCCGCCCTTACTCTTCATTGCGGGTGACAAGGAGGTTTTGAGAGACGAAATCATCTATTCGTGCGTCGTTATAATTGAGCCTATTCACCATCTAAAATGTCCATGAAGGGCTCATAAAGCCGCGCATCCTTCCCGTTTTCCCATCAAGGAAGAAGTACGCTTTCTCTACCCACCACTCAAAGGGATAGAAGACCGTTCTATTCCAACTGCAGTCCATTTACAGGTCTACGATGGTAAGCAATGACATTTACATTGCGACATAAAATAAGCCTCCCACCCTAGACACCGCTCATGTTTTGCCGGTCCTGTTCTCGTTTACTACTCCGGGAAAATTTTGCTACCGCGCAATTGCGTCTTTCACTAAGCATGTCACAGGCATGAGCGCGTTTTCCAGATCCTCGTCTAGTCCAATTGTCTCTCCTAGCGCCTTACCCTCTCACCCCGTCATAACGAGCTCTTCTCTGTTCTCCCGCGCGTTCTCTACGCCTGAATTCCTACATCGCATCCAAGGCAAATCGGGTAGCCCATCGTCGTCTAATACTCCCGATTCCCCCGGTCCTTCCCCGCGCTCATCCAAATACTTTCTCCCTCCATTTTCTCGACCTGGTATGTCGGCCCGTGCAAACACACTCCAGGTACCAAAGTCTGCATCTGATAACGCTCTTTTCAAATCTTCACTGCGGGCTCAATCTTCGGATGACGTACACGCGGGAGGCCCGGAGATCACTGGTAGTGTGTCCGACTCCGCTGATATAGCGCAGCGATTTGCAGGAGAAGGTAGGGTATATTGCGACGAGCAAGTATGTTCCTGCAACATGCATTACTGAAAAACCGGACTGATATTCCCGCAGGGTGTTCCCTCCTGGAAGGAAGGCATGATTCGTGAAAGGGTGGCGAATTCCGGCGTAATTCGACCACTGGAACCAGAGTCAGACTTGGATGCATTTCATGTTCCCCCGGAAATCATGGGAGCTTTCTCGGAGCTCACTATGCGACGCTATTTAGAGGGAAGGCCAAATATGACAAAAAGTTCTCGAAGGAAATACGCGCCATCCAGAAGCAACGTGACCGCAACCTCGGAGCTCTCGAGCAAAGACGTTCTGAAGAACATCGCACAACTTCAGGGCTTGCAGGGTTCGCAGAGCAAAAATGGCAAGGGGAAGGCACACAATACCACGAAAGGCATCAAAGAAGGTCTAGAAGCTGCCTCTGCCAGCTGGAGTTGGGCTTGGGCTCTGGACGCAGACGAGCGTCCACCACCGAGTAGTATTGTATCGCGGCGAGATACAGATGAAGCTCGACGGCTCGCGCGGATCGTTGACCAAGCTGTCTTACAAGAGCACAGTCAGATGAGCGCCAACAGCTTATGGGCTGTCATCGTTGATTTCTTAACTATCGCCCCCGATCATAAGCATCCCGGCTCTGATGCCAGTGATGGAGATCGACCATCACCCTCAATGCATAAACGCAAGTCGTTCTTTACCTCACTGCGACCCGGGGAACGAGAGACGAACAAGTCTGAGCCGAGTAGATAATGTACATATAGTGAGTCCTCGAGGAGCTCCATCCTAGTACTTGATGTTTTTACTACTTCTGTAGTCCAAAAGTTCTGCGCTACGACACTATCATATACAGATATGATACTAGATGATTATTTAATGCGTAACAACGAAAGATGTTCGTGAAGTTGCCCACGAGGACAACAGCATCACCTCTTCACTGTCCGTGTGCACCCCCGGGAGTCTACCTGCAGTTAAACGGGCCTCGTGAGCAGGTCGCGATCAACATCTCCCTCTCGACACTCCTAGGAAGGTTCCACATTTTCTGGCTCGGAATCTGTTTGCCCCATTTTCCGGCTTCATCATTGCATACGCGGCAGGAGGCTGCCGCGCTCGAAGTGTACACATAACTTTAACATGGCTACGTCTCGGCATGCCATTTCGAAATGGCGTGTTTGTCCAATTCCGCCACTAGCAGTATTAAAGTTGTAGAGCCTGCATACAAGGTGGGCTTCCTACATCCAGAGGATCTCAACCATGTAACCGAAAATAAGTTTGTTGAATCTCTGACCCACAAAGACCGATAATATCTATGGGACCGACTCATCTGTATTTTGCTCTTAGGCTACTACACGAAGAAAACTACGTGTTGATGTCTCCTCGTACGACATCTGGATTGATTGGTGCCATGCCCATCCCATATAGCGCTCAGATATCTTGAGCTTATGAGTCTTGTTACTTATCATCGTCTCCCACCCATAATGGAGAAGGAACGAATGTCTTCCTTCTAAGTATATGGTATACCTAGGGGGGACTATCTCCAGCCTGGCAATATGGTTTGACTCTCTGGTCTCAGTGGTATCCAGCCAAGCTATCGGCTCTATGCAGACCTCTGACATCTCCATAGCTGGCTACTTCGCATAACGTGATTGTCTCCCTCGCCAGCAAGGTTGACATTGACAACGAAGGCGCCTCGTACCTCGCTCTACCTCAGGAAATCGAGACCAGACTGAACTTTCGATGGTCTGCTGAGGTCATGGACCAACAGCTACAGCGTCTATGTCGGCACGTCGGCGCTCATGGATATCGACCTTCTCGCCACTGCCGCCAACGCAGCAACATGAGCATCAGCTTCGGTCTCACGCCACTGTTTGCTACACTCTGTAAATAAACACGGTCAATATCAAGGCCAGCATTGATATTCGGTTAACAATCGTAGCAAAAGTCGACATGACGCTGGGTGTTGGACAATATTGAGAGATGATTTGACGTATGTTCGGACTCGGAGTCGTACTTCTCAAGTATCTCTATGTAGTGCAGTTCTCCGGCTGAGGTCTTGACTTTATTCCTGGCTCCGACGATTGCCATGTTTTGGGTATTTCGAAGCCAAGGGGCTTCGCAGACTCGTAAGGAAGACTGGTACAAATCCCCAACGAACTCACTGTACTACTTGACCTTTCCCATGGTCTCTTCTAGTTCATGTACAATGTGCAATCGTGTGCCTCGTGTATCGCGCATTTAGGCGGTTGTGTGCAACATGAACCTGATTGCGCAGACGTCAGTGCACCCCTGCTGTATACAACAGACCTTTAGTAAATCGATCAATCTATTCGAGGGACCCGTATTTGGTGTCGCCCACCTCGAATAACAGGCACATCGACGTTATTTCAACCGGCGCGAGTAGGTAAGTGGGGTTTCAAGCTAGACCCACAGAGAGATCATTGTAGACGAAGCCATGGGAGAGAAGGAATCGAGGAGAATGACTGAGATGCCATGTCACTGTACAGTATGGCAGACAGGTGCAATGCATGATACTGTCCAGAGGTGACGCACGATAAGTATGATGATCTGATTATACAAGTGATGGTAAGTGGGTTAAGGCTAAGCGAACATGATGCCGAATCATCGGTCTAAAGGCTGGAAACGGCTGTAGTACTGTTTCGTCTGGGATTCAACCATCTCTTGTGTCGACTCTGGCAAATCTTCGACGAAGCGACCTATGACAGTACGGTCGGAATCATTATTATGAGACACAAGCCAACATTATAAAATCACTAGCCTGGCGAGCCACCAAATAGTGCCAGCGCTGGAATAACAGTGTTGGGAGGAATTACAGTGTTGTCTGCGACTTGAGCACAATCTTTGATGATTGTAAATTTGCCCTGCGCGACATGCCAGTGAAGACGATAGATTGACGGCCAAGAAGACTCACAATAACGCAATTCTTCCCAATAACGACATGATTCCCAATCGTCGCGGCTTCAACGACGGTGTTGGCACCAATATGAACATAGTCCCCGATTTTCATCGGATAGTAATTGAAATTTCCGCGATACGTCTTGTATGGTGGCCTGAATCGTATTGAGTATCATAGAGCAATTTAAATGTATGTACTACCTCAAGGTAAGACGTACCTCATCACGCAACCCTCGCCCACAAGACAGTACCTTCCAAGGGAAATGACGACGGCATGACCAGGACCTGTTCTGCGGAGATCTCCCCGTATGATTGCGGTGCTGGAAATAATAGTCTTTCCTCCGAGAATGATGTTCTGAGGTCCAGCTATGGTGGCTCTTCGAGAGACTTTGTTTCCTGTGTCCTAGTTTAGTGTCAACAACTGATTGACCATACAGTGTTCATCGCATACAGTTTCGATGAATTCAGCCTTGGAATAATATACCGGCGCGTCCATTGGGGCTAACGCAAAACGCTGACAGTCGCTGACGGTACCGGTACCGGTAGCCTCCAGGACGCGTCGGAGGCTCGGCGTGACGCGAGACACGGTTGCGGTCACGTACGTACACAATTTTTAGCCGAACCTTCAGCTTCATTACTTACTTGTCATTATCATGTTCCAGCTCACGACCCTCAGATTAGCCAGCCATCGAGTTTATCGACTTGCTTCATTCAACAGTTCCGTGGTTTGTTGTAGACCACCAGCGCGAGCTTTGTCATGGTGTACATCTCGTCATCCGCAGAAGCAGCTACAACTTACAACTACTCGACATTTTTCATCCTCCCTTCTAACAGCAAACGATGCTGCGTCGTCGAAAAAAGCACCCTCTTCCATTGACAGCCAAGCTGAGCCGGTTGCTTACCACGGTCCACTTACACAAACATTCCGTCGTCTCAAAATATTCTCCCTTTCATCCTTGGGCCTGTCATTTATTATGACCCCGTTTATTTTCATCGTCGAGTCATCACTCCCTCTCTCTGCTCGCATCGCCCTGGCAGCAACCGCACTTTCCACAAGTTCCATCTCCACTGCCCTCGTCGGGTGGTCCGGCGCATCCTATGTCGTCGACTTGCAAAGACTTCCGCCAGCCGACAATGGCGGTATCGAAGGCATCGAAATGACCACTCTTACGCTCACACTCAAAAAGCTAGTCACGCGTGTGTACGACGCTGACTTCCTAATAGAGACGAAGCGGCCTTTAGCCAAGTGGGAGCTCGCGCAAAGCGTCCTGCTGCCACCCTCAAAAGAGGACGCACTCATGGCGGCGAAAGGTGGCGCGCCGGGCGAGGAAGAAACGATAGCGGAAACATTCAATGCTACAGGCAAGATCGTGGGACGGTGGATCGTAAAATGGGACGGCGATGGTGCAGGAACCTGCCATGGAACGGGAAAAATTATACGGTATGTAAATGTTTATTAGTCGCGTTTGCAGAAGTTAACATCGCAAATAAAGATACTTTAATGTGCATGAGGAGCTCCTGTGACTTCCGCGGATCTCTGTCATTCCTTCAAGTTAGCAGATTCATGTCTTTACTCTAGCGAACCACCGTCATTTCTGCGGAGTCATAATACCAATCCATTGCACATCCTCAGAAGTACTATGCTCACACCTTAACTGCGCATCATACGATAACAGCGGGATATGCCGTCGTGTGGCAGCCAGTGGCTTTACTCGCGTCTTGAAGACGAATTGGTGTGGCACTGATTCACATCTTACAATCAACTCTAACTTAGTGACGTTGGTGATACCTGGCGCCAAGATATGCCACACTATCCCCCGTCAGTTGATGAGAGCGCCTTCGCTAGTGATGATTTCAAATCTCAAAATCAGCTTCCTGGGGTGGTGCTTATGGCAAATGGGATATATGACGGGGGTACCAAGGCAACATACATCATATAGAGGTGGTTATACACATCGAAAAAAGGGTTATGCGATTTGCTGAACAGTAAATCACTTGGTGATCGCCCGAAGCAAGCCTGCGACATATCCATCCGCCGACGCCGACACCGACTCCTGGTTGCTTGCACACCATAGATGGTTTCTCCCATGATGTTTACGAAGTTGTCTTGGCATCTATTTTTGCTGTACATTCTGCTGATTTGATGCGGATAGCAGTTCGCCTCTATCTTGGATCGCAGATCAAAACGTGAATGGATCAAGATTGACATCCTCCCTGTTCGTGTTCGTGTTGGATATTGTGTATTCGTGAATACGCCACGCTTCGGTCCGTGATCCAAGATTTGAAGGCTTCGCCACGCGATCTGATTTGCTACACACATCCAGAAGCTCGTAAACTTACGATACACGATATCTGGAGACAAGGAGTCGAATTTTAGTTCGCCTCCAGCTTCGATGGGTAGATATTTTCAAGACATCGACTTGCCATTTTAGTTTTTCATCCAGTAAGTTGACCATCTTACTGCCTAATAAATGACACGGTCATCGTACGGTCGTATCGATCGTGAGACCTGACGTGAACATACAATCACCGCCAGTGGCCCAGGTATCTCATGATCTCACCACCCAGCCGCGGCATTCATTTGATATTGTCCGACATAAATATACAATCACCGCCAGGTCTCACTACCTAACTGCAGCATTCATTTGACATGGGTCGTGGAATCGTTTGTGATGGAGAAAGGTGGCATTAATATCATGACTTGCCAGGCTCACAACTCAATAAAATGTGGGATAAAATAACATACGACACGATACGATACGATACGATATGATGTATCCGCGATGCTGGTCAACATCCCCCTTAATCTGCAGAGCGGTTGCCCCTGCGGATTGTTGACCCAGGTTCGAATGAGTGGCCTACTGGAGGGCCGAACTTCGGCGGTAGGAACCTTGTTTACGCTTCGGCAAAGTGAGTGCGAGTTGATTTGCAGAGTCGTGTCTTGTGATTATACTATTCACATTGTGTTTTCATGTACTGACTTTGTTGGACATCATAACGTAGGCCAAGACTCATCTGGTAACGAAGAACATGATGGCAATAACGACGACGGTGTATCAGGTCTTGAGGTCACAGGGGCCAAGACAACCTTCTCGCATATCAATGACAAGACCGAATGTGCACTAGCAGCCGCTGATCGGCATTTTCCTTTGTTCTTGGCACGAACGAAGGCGTGAAAATATATTGTACTTAATGATAGACAGAGATGGTTTGCTTCTGAGGGCGGGGATTAGCACATCTTTATCATTGAATAGTAATTTAGCCACTTACCGTACGGGCGTAGCACATCCAAGTTCAACAACACCCGTCAGGCAACATTATAAATTAAGAGTGAGTATTGAACCTACCTTTGTAGTGACGTCGATCTTGCCTTGCAGGGTCGTCCAAAAAGCGCTATTCAGCAGAGTAAGCCCAAACCGTGACAATAGTCAAATACTATTGCTGACGATTCCTGACACGACCAAAATCTTCCACGCACGACCTGCATGCTAAGCTGGTCAGTTTGCCAGGTTGCGCAGCGACACTTGGCATTTCCTGATAGGGTTCTGGGTTTTGAACGTAAACATGTTACTATTACTGCGCAAAATTAAAGAACGAGAATTGGTATAGACAGAACAATTGCCTAGGAGAGACTATCAGTGATAAGACCGAATACGCACTAGTCGGGGAATTTCCCTTATTTTGTCGCTCAGCGCTCAGCGGAAGAGACCGCGTTAGCTTGGCATGGCTGCGGGCGGAGATGGCGTTGAAATATTATGTTTCGACTTCTTGATGGGATGATGGCAAATAGCAACATACACTCCAACAAGTGTACTCCTGAGTTCCAATTCGTGCCAAGTATCGGTGGAATGAGAACGTGGTTTTCATCATATGGTCGAATATCTCGTGGGTAGATCTCACACAGAAGTCGGCGACTGCCTGCAAGGCCAACTCACGATGTTGAAATGAGACTTGGCTTGTCCGCAGTAGCCCATGTAAGTAAATTAGTCAAGCTTATGTGACACGCAGATTGTCTCCAACTTACTCGTCGAATCGTCGTCGTCGTCGCCATCATTGCAATCATCGTTACCAGATATCTTGGCCTACGTCATGATGTCCAACAAGGTCAGCACAGTGTGAACAGTAACTTACTTTGAAGGGTCTGTGCGTGAATTTGAGGGTCAGAGGTCAATCGAACTCACGCACAGACTCTGTGGCCAAGTGGGTCTTGGATAATGCCGAGTCCCTTTCGTTTGGAACTAACTTCTCAGAAGCACGGATGTTGCAGAAATTTTACCTGGCCGCAAGCCTGCAGTTTCAAGTAGTTTCACATCTGTGAAAACCTTCTGAAAGGATAGCGAATCCTTCGTTGGAGTCTTTGTCCTTTCCCAACGAGGATGTTTCATCCCGTCCCCCAGCAAAATTTGAGTCGACGCGATAGGTGCCGCAGCATAACTTAAGCCGCCAACGGATTCTTGTGCAGTTTCAAGTACAAGACAGTTGTGGTTCGCGGGCTCAATAGTTTGTCCTACCAGTGCGAGGTTGCGATCGAGACAATCTCCGACTGTTGCGATATTTTGCATCCCCGCGAATACTTGCCGCTAGGAGCTCAGGCTGTGCATAAGTTATATAGATTTAAACAAGATGATATGGGCTGATGTGTGTAAAGTCGTGTCCAGGATCTTCACAACTTGAAGCCATGAAGCTTGAAGTACGAGTACTGTTGCATTGATTCAAGGAGTACGATGGTTATGATATTGACAGCCTGAGCATCCTTTCTCTCCAATCTTGGTGGAAAACCCGCCGGCGGTCGGGCTCAGGTACTTACAATCGTGCTGCCTTCAGTGCGATCTTATCGCATCTGAGCCAGGCTAATTCAGCAATGCCCACGTGCGGGGGATTTTTTGCCGGTTAATCCTCACCGGCGCCTTCGCTCAGCTGCGCCCTTGCCAGGCCGAATGCCAAGAGCAATTAGAAGAACAACGGTAAACTAATCTTATGTAAGTATGTCCTCAGATTTCCTCGATCTTATATGATGCCAATCGTGCTCCGAGTTTTATTATTATTATCAGCCAACGGGAATTCGTCCAGGACCTCGCAAAGACCTCGCAGCGTGGTGGCCAAAGTTCGAAACATGTCCAGCCACCGTATCAGTCACACGAGTTAATAGAGAAAAATGAATAGCCCGAACAAGTTGAAGCTGCCCTCTGACTCGGTTAGTCTTCCTTTTGATGACAAGAATCCATTGTGTGGGATACGGGAAAACATTATGTGACGAGGGCGTCCGTCACCCATATCATGCGGTATAACTAAATAATGCAACAAATTTGAAGTACAAACTTCATGCGGGATCAAAACTCTATGCCTCCCAATATCCATTTTACAGCTTGTTTTTGAACTGGGCGAGGGCCAGGGGTTGATCTTCGAGAGCACATGGTTAGTAGAGATATCATGAGATCAAATGGCATAACTCACATGTAGTGTTATAGAGGTTATCTGTTGGAGTCAGGCCAACATGTGAGTGAAGCGCGCTTGCGTCGACCATTTCAGGTGTCAAGTCATCTATGGTGCGAGCGCCAAGGAGGCGCATGGTCATTTCCAACTCATCCTATTTTTGGAAATAAGCTTATCAGGCTTGCATAGGTCGTTACCTAATCAGACTCACCCGGAAGATTTGGAAGGCCTTTTCAACACCGTCCTGTCCATAAGCACAGAAGGAGTACATGAATGCGCGTCCGACACCAACGGCAGATGCACCAAGGGCAATAGCCTTGAGAACGTCGGAGGCTCTTCGGACGCCACCGTCGACGAAGACTTCGAATTTGGGGTTGGGCCACGGGCCACGGGTCTTGAGAGCGGCAACAACCTCAATTAGGTTCTCAACACCGGAGCGAGCCGTGTCAAGTTGACGGCCACCGTGGTTAGACAGAACAATTCCAGCAAGACCATAATCGTAAGCCATGAGTGCGTCTTCGGGAGTAGCAACACCCTTCAGGACAATAGGCACTGAAACCAAAATGTGAGACACGGTTCGCTAGAATTCGCCCGGTAAGCAATGGGCACTGACTATTTGTGATGCTCTTGAACCAGGGAATGTCCTTCCACGACAAGGAAGGGTCGATAAAGACTGGTTGATGCGTAGTTTCAATATACTTCATCACATAAGATTGGCATAGACCTACCGAGATGGCCCGGGCAACACCCTCATCCTTCTTGACTCCGGACTCGTTTTCTTGGACTTTCGCAACCCCGGACTCGTCAACGAATTTCATGCGCATATCCTTCTCGCGGCGACCGAGCTGGGGAGCATCGACAGTTATGAAGAGGCCCTTCACACCACGCTTCTCAGCGTGTTGGACATACTTCCTCGTGATCTCCCGGTCACGGTTAACATAGAGCTGCAAGAATTGGACCTGGCCGGGGGCAGCAGCATCAACGATCTCATCGAATGCGCAAGACGCAAGCGTCGGGATCTTCGCATCACTCGTCAGCGAAGGCCAGCACCAAGATGATAAACTTTGTTCATTACCATTTGGATAACACCATGCTTGCCCGCTGCTCTGGTCAAGTTGAGTTCTCCATCTGGATGGCCAAGCTTGCCAAGTGCTGTAGCAGACTAAAGATTCAAGCTATCGGTGAGACAAATATATTTATGATGCAAAGCACTTACGATGTATACTGGAAGCGAGGATCTCCGACCGAGGATGGTTGTTGACCAATTCACAACAGAGACGTCACGAAGAATACGAGGACGGAACCAAATTCTAGAGAATGACGTTAGAATTCACATGACTATGGATAACAACGGAGGACAAACCTCTGGTATGCGGCACGGTTCTCGCGGATGGTTATCTCATCATCAGATGCCGAAGAATAGTAGGCCCATGCTTTGGCAGGGAGGATGACTTTTGCAACAGCCTATCAAACACACGGTTAAGTGACACGGAATCTTGCCGAATCCGGGTACTAACTTCGAAGTCATGCAGATTGACGATTTCATCCAAGGAGGGTCGGGCCGCCATTAACTCTTGACGTTTTTTCTCCTCGGCAGTGACTTCCTTGACCACCTTGACCACAGTGCTCGGGTCCACGGCGCCAAGGCTGCATATCAAATCACAAGTTGCATCATTTGCTCCCTAAAGCCTTTAAGCTTTGTGAAAGCTACTCACTGCTTATCTTTGGGAAGGTGGGTCGTAATGGCATCAGGAGGGTGAATTGGGTCGTATGCTACACTGATACGGTGACCCGTTACCGGTAAGCCTCAATGCTAAGTCATATACAAATGCCTTACGTCGCATCAATACCAGCATACTTCAGGATGATTTTGCTGCCGCCGGGGTGTTCTAAAAAAATTAGTGTTGTGTGATAGAACGCCATAAGTTTATTCCGCCAGTGACGTACCAGGCAGAAACTCCGTAACATCGTACACTTTGCCTTGTCAATGCATAAAACGTTGAGTACACAGTGCAGAATAAACAGACAAAGTTCTACGAACTACTTACCGTGAACAATGATCCAGCAGCTTGAGGCAGTGGAGTGCTCGGCGACAGTCTGAGCGGAAATTAGAGACATATCGACGATGTTCGATGTTAATGGGGGTATGTTGAAGCTTCACCAGAACGTAACTTGTGCACTTTTTGAGCGCTGCCAAGCGGAGGGTGCGGAGACCGCATGCACGATTTACGTCGTAGCGCATACCATTAGGGGCAGACTGCCTTCCGCAACGTGCGGGGATCACGGGATGAGTGGATCTCATTGAGCATTGCGATCGGGGATAGACCGGACAGTGGAAAGACAATGGCGTATAGCATCATGTACGGACTTTGGGCGAAAGTACGACAGCACACCATGCTGCTTGTTCTCCGATTCCGAATAGCGTGAGCCTATCAGAAATGGCCTAACGGGGCTGGACCACTGCATGTGAGACAATTCCGGATTGAATTGAAAATTATCACGATCGTCGCGATTCAGAGGATGACCGTGAATCCCTAACCCCCTCTAACGCCGACATACGTCGACCTTGTATCTCAGGAGGGGTTCGCTAAGTGGTGAGCTACTACGCACATTTTGTAGCAGAATTAATGTGGGTATAGTGACAACTGCTCAGGTACTGCGTAAAACTTGACTTTCATGGGAGTATACCTGCCAACGCACCTGTCGAATACTTTAGTGATATATTATTATAATATTGAGATTGAGGCTTTATCCGCAGTGGCGACCTCGGCGTCGAAGTCCCTCGGAATTGAAAAATTACTATTTGTGGGAAAAAGCAAATAGTTGTATACAACCGTGAGTGTAAGGCTTGGCAGTTTAACGTGCGTCATCATAGATTGTCTCGCCGATCAGGAAGGCGCCCATTAGACGTTCCCGGCGAGTACAGCGAGCCAAGTGATGAGCCGCATTCGGACCCTACTTAGTTGACGAATGCAGTCGTACTACAAAAAACGGATTACCCAATTGGATGACTTTGGGGGTGACTTGAAGTAAAATTTTGACTTTCAATCAAGAGCGCTTGACCACTTTAGGTATTCTTTTTATATCATTTATTGTCTTATTAGCCCGGGTCATCAATATTGTTGTGTTTGTTTTTCGGTACGCTAACAGGACGGTCAAAGGCTACTACTTCCGCTCAAATCCCGTCACCTCCAATCATCCAGCGCTCAGCTCAAGTTCCGCATGCCACTAGCCCCATTTGCTCTGGGATCATTCCAGCACTTCAAGTTGCCGGTCACTCGCTCTTGCGGCGTTGCCAGTGTGCTGGTTCAGAGCTCTATCTGACCTGGGCAAACTTGAATTCGACCCTGAATTAGCGCCATCTACGGGAATCTCACCTTGAATTATTGGCTGCCGGCAGCGTATCGAGTACTGCAGTTTGAATGGCCCTCCCATCTCGCTTTACCGTCTATCAGACGTGTCCCGTGCTTACCCCTTTCATGTTCTTCTCTCGCCACTTGACTCCGCAGTAGTTTTCATTTTTCCATGTCCAAAATCGATTCTCCTCATTCAATGAACCAAAGAAAATGTGACTGACCACGTACGTTACCCTTTTCAGCCGGTTTACGGTTTTTTTGGTTCCACGGAAACTGATTACTATTCGATTTACAGCTACCCGAAAGTTTATAAGCCCGTACCCAATGTGTACTATTGACATCATATCTTCCCCCTTCCTTGCCAATCTGCCTTCGAATTGTCTACCCTGTTAAAATTCATCCAACCTTCTCTAGCTTTCCAAGCTGTTGCTCACTCGTAATCTTCGCACCTATTTATCTAATTTCTTCTTTTCAATGGCACCTGGACTTGACTTCTTCAAGAGCTCCGAGTCTACCGACGCACCAGTCGTTCAAATCAGCGCTGATGCAGAACCTGAAACCAATGGCACTTCCAACTCGTCTGCGAGCCCCCAGGTGACGCCTAAACCTGGTGTTTACTACAACTCCCGCTTCGACCCGGAGAACTTCCTGGAGGGAGAACTCTCTCTTGACGCTCCCACTCGTCTTCGTCAAATGCTGGCTAGGCCAGGTATCGTTGTAAGCAAAAATTCTCTGCTCTCTAAGGCATGTTTTCTCATGCACTCCGTTAGATTGCTCCTGGTATTTGTGACGGTATTAGTGCCCGTTGCGCACTCGAAGCTGGTTTCGATTGTATGTACCAAAGCGGCGCAGCAACCACCGCTTCACGTCTTGGCATGCCCGACCTTGCCATTGCTACCCTGAATGACTTCGTCCAGAGTGCACAGATGGTCTGTGGATTAAGCCCGACTACTCCTGTTATCGCTGATGCCGATACTGGGTAAGCACATTTCATGTATTTGCTGATATCTCAGCTTACACATTTGCATAACTCAGCTTCGGTGGTACTGCTATGGTTGCTCGCACAGTCTATCAATACATCCGCGCCGGTGTAGCTGCCATGCACATCGAGGACCAAGTACAAACTAAGCGTTGCGGCCACTTAATGGGCAAGCAGGTTGTCTCCCGAGAGGAATTCATTACTCGTATCCGAGCAGCCGTCATCGCTCGTGATTCTTTCCCTGGTGGCTCGAACTTCGTAAGGAACGCTCGGCGATCTCCACCTCCTCATCTCATCTATCTTAATAGGTCATTATTGGGCGTACCGACTCCGCTCAAGTCCTTGGCATGGAAGAAGCTGTAATTCGTCTGAAATTGGCAGCTGATGCCGGTGCCGATGTTTGTTTCATTGAGGGAGTTAAAACTGCCGAGCTTCTCACCTCCACGGTTGAAGCTTTGAAGCCCAAACCCGTCCTCGTTAATGTCATTTCTGGTGGCCTAACACCCTCCTTTACTTGCAAAGAGGCTGAGGCTCTCGGTGCTAAGATCATTAGTGAGTTGACCATACTACCTACATGGGAAGGGATATTTTAACCCGCTTTCAGTCTTCTCACTCGTGTCCTGCGTTGCTGCTGTCCATGGCATTCGCGCTGCTATGCAGTCTCTGAAGAAGACTGGCACTGACTTCTCATCGGCCAAGGGCATGGATCCCAAGGCCTTCTTCGAAGTCATGGGTCTCGAAGAAGTTGTCACCTTAGACGCAATGGCAGGGGGTAGTTCCTTTGAGGTCGTTTAGAGCCTATTCGGCATTTGACTTCTCTGTCGATACTTTTCTACTCTAATACTCTTTTCAAAGCTGTTTCAATTGTACACGGGACGAGCATCGACATCACTATCATTACGCTGTTATCATTAGATTTTCCTTATCTCTCTGCAACTCATATGCATGCAATACACCTGGATTTCTTGGCTCCTTGTGAGTACTGTTAGTCTATGAGTGCTCTGCCATGGTCAGTGGCATTGCGAAAACTCGGCGAATTGGTTTGTAAGGATCACAAATCCCGGAATAGGTTGCCGACTTCCAGAAATACTCCATTCGGCATTTAATCCGGCACGGCGCTCCGTCGGCTCTTCATGACCTCAGTACTTACTATAAACCACGGTATGTACTCTCGTACGCAACCTTCTTCGATACCATCGAGTTCGGGTGCTCGCAACACGCAATAACTGCCATGGCAAGCTCAGGCAAGATGTACTCCGGCAAGGAAGTTGCTCTGCACAACAGTCGCGAGAGCTGTTGGATCATTGTACACGGTAGGTGCATGTTTTTCAGCCTCCTACTGGCATATCCTCATCAACACAAACGAATGGCTAACTTGGGCCTTTGCTGCAGGTAAGGTTTACGATGTTACGGACTTCTTGGACGGTGAGTACATCAGAAGGTGATCAACTGAACACGCGGCTGGACTAAACTATACCGGCACAGACCACCCTGGTGGGGCACGAACTCTCTCGTAGAGCAATACAGATTGACTAATTAATGATCTTAGGTGGAAGCAAGATAATATTGAAGTATGCTGGCAAGGATGCAACGTACGTCATTTACCATCCCCAATTTGCCATTTCCTTATGCTCGTTCTGGCACAGTGCAGAGTATGATCCGATTCACCCACCAGATGCTATCACCACCAACCTGAAGCCTGAGAAACAGTCTGTATTGTTCATTGATATGCTCATGACCCCAGATTACTCAATCACGTTAGCTTGGGGAGTGTTGATCTCACGACTGTGGAGAAAGTTGAGGTAAAGGTTACTGCTGAAGAGCATGCACGTCAAGAACGCATTGCTGCTCGCCCACCCCTTTCCGAGATCCTGAACCTTCATGACTTTGAGGTTTGCCTTCGCCATGTAGACAAAAGACGCGCTCATGTATTTTGCAGGCCATTGCGAAATATACTATGCCAGAGAAAGCATGGGCGTATTACTCCTCCGCAGCCGATGACGAAATTACGAATCGGGAGAATCATGCTGCATTCCACAGGTACACCTTTCTCGAACCAACATAGGGAATTCTCATCAAAGTTCCCGACTTCAGGATATGGTTCCGTCCGCGAATTCTTAAGGATGTGACTAAAGTTGATTGGTCAATGAGAATACTCGGGCAGAAATCGAGCATGCCGTTGTACATTGTACGTTCCTTGCTTCCGATTTAGTGTTTAAGATTCTAAATGTCCTTTATGCAGACTGCGACAGCTTTGGGCAAGCTAGGTCATCCTGACGGTGAGCTGAATCTGACGCGTGCAGCCGCGAAGCATGGCATTATACAAATGGTTAGCATTCCAGATATATTCATTTCGTCGAACTGTCGTTCCTATACTCGTTACAGATCCCGACACTTGCGTCATGTTCCTTTGATGAAATTATGGACGCCGCAGCTCCTGGTCAAGCCCAGTTCTTCCAGCTTTATGTCAACAAGGATCGCGAAATCACGAAACGCATAGTGCAACATGCTGAGAAACGTGGTATCAAAGGTCTATTCATTACTGTTGATGCACCACAACTAGGTCGGAGAGAGAAAGATATGCGGCAGAAGTTTGAGGCTGAAGATCCGTCCGAGGTTAGTAAGGCTGGCCAAGGGGGGGTCGACCGATCCCAGGGAGCAGCACGAGCTATTAGCGTAAGTGATATATGTCACAGCTCCAGGTTTGGTGGTGTATGACATTTTGGCTGACAGTCCTTCATCGACCCTGGATTGAACTGGTCGGATATGGCATGGTTCAAGAGTATCACTAAGAGTAAGGATATGAGTACTTGTTTAGACTGCTGGTCTTAGAATTTTGCAGTGCCCCTTATCCTGAAAGGTGTCCAGTGCTGGGAGGTACGTCAAGGGTGCTTTCCTGGTATCGAGCCTTACATACGTTTCTATGTCAGGATGCACTTGAAGCATACGACCTTGGACTTAATGGTGTCGTCCTGTCAAACCATGGTGGACGTCAGCTCGACTTCGCGCGGTCAGGTATCGAAGTGCTCGTTGAGGTCACCACCGCCCTCAAAGAGAAACGTGGACTTTCTTTTCCCAACGAGAAGTTCCAGCTATTCGTCGACGGCGGTGTCCGCCGTGCGACCGACGTCATGAAAGCCATTGCATTAGGCGCTACAGCTGGTAAGCCAACAAGTCATCGATGAGATAACGACTCGGTAATCCTTTGTGCTGACCACGTACAGTTGGTGTTGGTCGCCCGTTCTTATATGCGTATTCGGCCTATGGGCCTCAAGGTATTGATCAAGCCCTTCAAATTTTGCATGTGCGTTCCTTCTTCTACTTTTTTTTTTTTTTTTAAAAATTCTACATCTTTTCATTACCCTGATAGGACGAGTTTGAAATGAACATGCGCTTGCTGGGGGCTCGCAACATGAAGGAAGTCGTGCCAGAGATGGTTGACGCCTCAAACATCCACCTTCATATGGTCTCTGTGCCCATTGATAACCTTTACGAGAGCAACTGTACGTTCTGCATGCGCCTTTTATTCAGTATTCTAATACAATGCCCTTGCAGACGAACGGCTCCAAGGTGTCCGTCTCAAAGAGGTCAAGAACAAGCTGTGACTTTGCTTTCCGTAGTGTGTATCGAACTAGATCTGGATCTTTCATCATACCGCTGTAGATTATTACAGAATTTAGATCTCACCGGGAGTACTACATAGGTCAATTTCCTGTCGTTGTTATACCTTACTATGTTGGAGGACAATGGCAATAGTTGGGCCTATTTCATATCCCTGCGTATCTGCCCATCGCCTTTGGACAAGTACTCTTTCAAATGAGCGACTGTGGCTCTTGATGAGATAACAATTCCTGCATAGATGGTAATCACACTTCAGGATACGACACCGTCATCAAGCATTATTCCCATCTTATCTGCTGAAATATTTGATATCACGAATTTGTACTACAATATTGACTCTGCTAGTTGGCAGATCAAAAAGGATTCCGAGAACGAAAGGTACGCTATTTGACAGGACGCAAGCCCCATTCACTCCATGGAATTGTCGCGGCTGATGAGGCCATCACACCCCATGTGATCGCATAGTGTTCAAGAACAAGATTGAGCTCTTCGACCTCATCAAGCATTTCAAGGCTAGATATTCTTTTCAAATGTGGATAAACGGGATTCACTGAACTGTATCATGTATCCATAAGAATGACTTACCTTTCTAGCTCTGACAGCTCGGTGTAATTACTTCTGATGTTACGGAGGGTCAGCGCCTTCGCAGAAGTGAACCCATGCCTTAAGAAACGGGCGGGGAGAGACTCTAATGAAGAATATGGCTTCGCCCCGGGAAGGGATACGTTTCTTGCCTTTGTTACACAAATACTAAGATCAGACGGTCAACGTCAAAGTGGATGACTTACTCGAAGATTGTTCATCATGACCTGCCCGAAGGCATCCTCCAGCCCAAACATTTCATACACCGTAGCTCCCAGAGTGCCTGTCAAGGGAGTTTGGGCGCTTGGGCTGAAGAAGTCAACAAACCATTGGATCAATGTGGATGAGGCCTCTGGAGACATGTAAACCAGAACGCATTCAAACAATAGAAGCGTTGGAAGACCGGGTGACAGATGATCTTTGAAGAGCCCAGGCAAAACGTCTGCGGGGGGTTTGCGAAGATCACATGGTAAAAGATGATATCTGGACGAATGCAAAGCCTGGCCGCCAAGATCTATAACGAACATTGAGGAATGATTATTCGTGCATCTTTGAGGAATATCACTGACCTAACTCCGAAGGACCAATAGTGGTGCTGAGTCCACTTCTCGGATTGCGAATTGCCATCGCTTTCTTCAGGGTCACATCTGGAAAGTCGAGCTCGAAATACGCTCCAAGCTGTTCTTTCCAAGGTCCTTCCTACTGACCGTTTCACTGTCAGCCCGCCATTGGGGGTAGGAAGCCATTAATCACCATTAAACGCCAAAACCGCGTATCGCTCCCTGCTCCGAGACTAACAATCTGACAAAGTTGCCCCTCCTGCTTGGAGAGCTCAAGCCACTGCTCCACGAGTCTGTCGATAGCTTCGGATCGCACATAAGTGCCAATATTGATCAATGGTGGCCGCAAGGGCTGCAGCTGTGCTCGAGGCACCAGGGAACTGACGAAGTGGTCATTCATATAACCTTTCCTAACCGCAGATAGTCGTGCCAATGCTGCATCTGAATCTGTCTGGCGAATAGCAGCATCGGAATCATGAGTCCTTTCGCTTCGGTTGACGGGTGCAGGCGGGTGCATTGAATACTTAATTCAAATTGGCTACGTAAAGAATTTAAGTACTTCATGTGAATTAACTTATGTATTAATAATTAATTTCTGGGGGAACTGTAGGCCCCGGCAGTGTAGGGGGATCGCTATCTAATGTGACCTCCATTAAAAATAGAGCGCCAGCGGGCTTGGTTGATGTATCGCATGAGTTCGGCTGCGTGCAAGTCTGCGCGGCTAGCTGCAACTGTGATGCAACATGATTTTGGTTTTCCTAAACCTATTTCTCTCCTTCGGGTTTACTTCAGAACACCACATCAATATCACGACGATACTTCAACATTATTCTCACGTTGCCTGCAGAGTACCCGACAAGTGACATTGCTCGGAGTATTTCCCGTGCTACACATCACCCTCAGTTGACACGTGTACGCGCTCCTGGAAAGCGATTGTAGTCATGGCAGTTTCTTCATCAGACTCGTTGGTGACAAGCTTAGCGTGGTCCCAGCACAAACATCTCCAGCAGCGTAGCAATTTCGAGAAAGCCAGTATATATCTCGGCTCCCATGGAAGACAAACTCTATATAAACGATGAAGAGTGGTCAAATGCAGATGTTGGGTCAGTCACAGATTGGCGTACCGAGATCATTGGAGACAGGTAGCCGAGGCTGAAACAAGAAACAGTAGCATAACTAGCACGCAGAACTTCAGCGGAAAATCATAATCGTATTTAAATTAAGAGCTCACGCTGCGAAGTAAAGCACGTGAGTTTTTAATAACACCGTGAACCAGTCCCCGATGGTCCGTCTTCTCGATGGTCGTTGCAAATCACGGAAGTGTTTTACAACAATCCAGACAGCGAGACAAAGTGTGAGGACCTCCCATACAATGGCGAGCGTTCAGGCTACAGCCGTCAGAAGTTAGTCCTCTCCCCTGACAACACATTGATGGGTGCCAGCGAGGACGAGCTCCTCTAGTGTTTGTCTCGATGAGCTTGATGCGCTTCAATCTTTCATCCATATTTAAAGCGTACCCCATATAATATAGCTGCTTCCTATCGCGGAGAGTACTCCGCAGGCAATCGTGACAGGAAGGTTACAAAAAGAAAAATGAGCATCCTTTTGGACCGCTGATACATGGCATGTAACCAAGTGATCATGATAACTTGTATGATATTTTAATATCACTGAGGTACTGCAACTGCGTGGCTCACCGCTCAACATGGCATTTACAATAAAAGACATCCACGATAGTGCGAAGCCAATAATAGTACCTGAAAACCCCAGTCACAAATGTATCGCAAGACTCAATGCTTCTAACGAACTCACAGCTGTTTCAGTGGCGATATTGAACCAACAAACTAGTTAGGAATCTCACTCACTTCTACATGGGAGTGCAGTTAAGTAGTTGGATCGGAATGGGTAGCAACATAATACTCACTACATCTGTCAATGAAACCGACGGAACACTTGCTACATGCCGCAGGTCAGAGGAAACGAACGTACGGTAAGCCAGAAGACATACACACTATGTTCAGTCTGATTGTGAGAGATGGCTTATTAGTACAATGTCACCTTGCAAGCCTTGGAAACGAATGCAGAGTATAGTGTAAGGATAGTATATCCTTTACGCGCTGACCATGTCTTCAAACGAAGACGCTTTAAGTCGTCCACGTGACTCACTGATGCGAAGAGTGTTGCTCTTCGCACCCGAGACACGCCGATACATCCATTTTCATTTCATTTTTTTCGATCTTACCTTGTGCTCTGATTCCACGATCCCCTTGCCTTGACCGCTCCATTTTACCTACACCACATGCTCTTAAGGGACCAGCGGCGCCTCTGCCGAATCCTCTGTCTTATTATGTTCTTCTAATAAGTATGGGTGCCTGCTCACCCAGACTAGCTCGAACTATAAACCCATTATTAGTAAGATGGCTGCTCTGGTAGAATGACACTACCTCTTGCCCGAATGAAAGTGCTGGAGGATACCATTGGGACATCGATAATTTCCACAATAAGTAGTATCTTGCTCACCCCAATCGTATACCACCGCAGTAGCGGATGCGACTGCAAAGCCACGGAGTCACAGTGGAATACTATCACCAAATTGTTCTTCCACGAACCTACAAAATAGCTAGATACACGATAGACATTGATCAGCGGCCACCAACCAGGATTATTTGAGACTAAGGTCATATTCAAGGGGTTAGCGCCAGCGAGTGGCGAACTCGGTAGACGTATAAGCCATGTAATATTCGTGCTAGATATACCACCATTCCCGACTCTGAGCGCCGAAATAGGTATTATTGGGATGGATATCTGCTCCTGTGGTACATCGGCCTTGATTGAACCGAAAGTAGATTTGAGGCTATTGGTGGTCTGCAAAAACTGGTTGCACGGAACTTCCGAACACCACGTTTCGAAAAGCTGTACACCGTGATTTCGGCAACTCGATTCCCGATACTTATTTGTCATTCTCGAGAGGTTCTTGCCACACTTACATCAGTTCAACGTTCAGAATTTGTGGGTCATCGCTGGACGTTATTGCATGATTGGCCTATCGGTGTTGCCGGCGGCCGCAACGTCAAAGTGCGCCAGGTACATCAATGAGCTATGCTTACTATTAGTGTCAATTGCCGGGCAGGCATGATGCACTCTATGCATCCCAGATTCCCACCACACATATTCCAGTGATGCGCGCCGCGGATGCGTAGAATTAGGACCCCGGCGTGGAGACTTGCCTGTTAAGATAGGTTCGCTGAGCGCTCGAACTCATGTGGGGTTTGGTCACAGGGACTTGACGGAACAACCTACATAGAACTTCAAAATGTACCGGGAAGGATGGTGGAAGCATGCTCCAATGTGAGTCCGACCATCTGCCTGCCTCCTTCCCCGAACGACTTCCTAGGTATGCTACTCACTGTGAAGTAGAGTTTTGCATGGGAATGAGAGGCTGGGCCCATCGGGCATTACGGAAACACAACATGTACTTACTTATAAATAAGCAGATGTATATCGAGCATTGTATATCAAGAAGGGGGTGTGGCTCACCGGATCCATTAATCCGCCGAAGAGGACCCGTAACAACTTTTTATGCTCCTGGTGGACTATGTAGTCAGTTGAGTTTGCACGGAGGTTTCCGAGAGCTTGGTCAGCGATGATGCATGGCTTCAGTGTTCGCAACATGATGTGAGCCAGCCGACACTAGTAGCCTGAGAGATACATATGTACTCATTGTATTTGTATGCATGTGAGGGAACACATTTAGTAACTTCCTATAAGCATATGCCTTCCTCGGACGTTAGGTCTAATACTTCTGATTGTAAACAATAGGTATGGTAGCCTGAACGGGGTGGTGTCTTCATAGCGCTCATGCCATTTACATCGCGTATGGCTGTGTAGTCCGGGTGTCCTCATCATCCCTACATTACTATACGTATACTAGATGCCAGGAAGCACAGGATCCAACTTCTTTCTTCCAGCCTCAACAAGTGCCACTCCGCTTCTCATCTTGTCTCTCGTTGCCGGAGGCGGGACCGTCCTCGTTCTGAAGTGGGTCGCGCGGGTAGAGAGACTCGCTATTACGGGAGCTTGATCGCCTTTCGTCATGCGTCGCAGGGACAAGTGGCTCGTCCTTCGTCTTTTCAAATTCGTAGGGGAGTAGAATTGCCCGGTCGATGGCCACAGGAAGACCACGATGTCGGCCGCGAAGCATGACGAGGCAGAAAATGAGCTTTGAAAGAGGTTTTAAGGCACCAGAAAACGAGTAATTTTCCTACCAGAGAAGATAAAAATACTTCAATAGTATCACAGTATCTCGATCACTCACGGTAGGTATCCCGAGACTGAGACCAACAGTGCCGTATGCTGAGACTAATTCAAAAACTTGTCGAAATTGAGCAAAACAGTGACTCGACATGATGGGAACATACTGATGGTAAATATATTGAACCATCCCTGTATCTCCGTGTTGTCCAAGTTTCCACGCTATCATAAGGCATGTTATTAGAACCGTTGTGACCCCCGTCATCGCGCTGCTCACCTCTATGATACAAACCAACACCAGCGCCTATGTCAGACAAAGTCAGTTTACTCCCCCAGTGACCGCGCAGAAGCTTACAAGACACAACCACCACATGTCTTGGTAGCTGGGTGAGACAAATTACTAGACAACGAACCAATATCACATACCGGATGACAATTGTTGACGTGCATGCATAGCCAAGTACCGAGACCACACCGTCATCCTTGGACCTGCGGTTGAAAAGGCAATCTCGTCCTCCGAGTAGTTATCGTTCTTGTATATACCCAGGGATTGCTCTTCGTAGACGTTTGTCGAGCGGACACTAGATTAATAAGTATCAGAATTGTCTATGACATCCGCACGTCTGCCAAGGTGAACGCACCTTAGGGCAATGGGGTCTCGAAGGGCAGTCAGTTTAATGTGCATCACCAAGAATATCAAGGTACTTACATACGCTAATATACATCATGATAACATACATGACTCTGTTTCCTCAAAGTGAGTACCTGTGCCAGATGACAATTTCTCAACCTAACTTGACGGCGGGAGCTATTCTGGCGAGTGGAACTATGCCGAATCCCGCAGCACGAACAGCGATTGCCTGCAATAGTCCAGCGACAAGTCTCGTTCCTAATGGTATGGAATCGATGTCAGGATTTCCAATGTCGAGGACCATAAAGCAGAACCAGTCTGTGAGGCTGCATTGCCAAGTTCAGCGTGCGACCATAGAGATGGGAAGTGCGTACTTCATGATGACCAGAATCGTAAACAGAAACCAAGTCTGATACGAAGGGAAAAGATAAACAAAGCATCGACGGGGATGGTCCAAGAGGAAATGGAGCGTTTCATGCAGTCGAGAATTCCTCGGTACCAGTTTCGTGATTATCCAACTTTCTAAGGTGAACGGCGAGTTTGTGAAACGGATAGCATACTTACATGAGAAAACGGAGCCTTCAGGATTTTTGTGAGTTAAAACTGCCATGTAATCCAGATTGCAAACTCACAGTATAGGCTAATGCTCGTAAATATTATTATGTTGTTAAAAATGAGCTCATTGGCACTCACAAAAGCAGTGTTGCCAGCCAAAATGCAAAACATCATAAAAAAGATCACTTACCCAAGAAAACATCAGCATCATGCAGTGCATATGATACATGATACTCACTCGGATAGGCCGTCTGGAAGGGTACCATGCTCTGGTCAACAAGAGAAGTTCCGGTATTGGTGTACGCTGATACGACTTGGAAGAGTGAAAACCTATACCAGGTTCTTTTAGCTGACGTTTTGTTAGCATTGTAAGACATTGTTCACCAAGGGACCGTGATTTTTCTAAATAGCGCAGGAGGCTCGAAATCACTCGCCCACTTTGGCATTGACATATAAGGAGCGATCACCACGAAGGAAACCAATTGAACGGCTATGTGATACTACGGAAATCATTTGAGACAACGGGGGCGACTTAAAAAACGAGATCACTCACGGACGGGACCAACCATAGCAGTGCGTTGAGGGCCCGATATTCAATTCCACCCAACTCCTCAAGCTGTTCATTCGTCGAAAAATGGAACGCAGAATTCCGTCCGACGACTGCGTCAAACGAGATATACGTTACAGGCTTGGTGCCCTCCGCGGCGCTAATGCTCCCGCCATGTGTTGGTCTCCCAGGGGTACTCGCAGCACCACTCATAGTCCGTCCCAGTCCACCGCCCGTCAGTGTAGTAGTAACAGGAATCGTCATGGTTCTCTCCAACCTGTTTCTAGCATGAGGAAACAGCCAACCAAATAGCATCCCCAGCAGCTCGTGCGGCATAGGGAACCCCCCGAACCCTCGTAGCATCTGCTCCTGCGGTTGGTCAACATGATTGAAGGAATGCGGTGGATATAGGCTCGATGCGCGCCTAGATTCGCTAGATCTATGTGTTTGAGTGGTTGGGTGCTGTGCCATTGGCACGTGCGAATGTTGAGGCACTGCGGAAGAGCGGCGGAGGCGAGGACGCGACGAGGAGAACCCTGAATGTGAAAAATCTGATAAAATTTCAGCGGAGGGCGAATCTGAGCGACCGGTCCGGCTACCGACGGGAAAGAGGGGGTGATAAGAACGAGAAACAGCGGGTGCAAATTCGACAGTTACTGTCCGTGGCATTCCAGTCGATGCAGCTGATGTTGCAGCACCCCGACTCGCTTCAGGCAGGTGTGAACCAGTCGTCGGTTCTGACGCACCAGCTAATAAAATAATGAGACAATAAATGAATGCAGTCTTTCGTAGTAAATATACTGACAATGGAATTCTCTAGAGCTTCCTGTATCGGAGAGACGGCGTGCATGTCCACTGATGTAGAGCAGATGTCAGGGTCACTAATGCCAAAAGATAGTAGCGTAAATGCCTACGAGGTGCTTCTCTCCAGATCTATAGAACCCGCGTTGACAGTTTCTACATGTAGGTTCTTCACCTCGACATCACCGTCCAATTCAAGCTGCTCCGGAGTATGGGTCCTTTCATCAGCGAACGCTAATTGATGAGGAGAGGACGTTGGTTCTTCCACAGGCCTAACTGAGCTCGTTGCACTTGGTCTCAATGAAAAACGCTTCATGGGCATCGCACCGCTTTCAGTCACCCACCCGCTCGGGTTGACCAGTTTGGGTGGTGCATCCACGCGCCTGATCATATCAGGCCTCAATCTCCTTGCACTCTTCTTCGGTGTCGTTCGAGCATCGTCACTAGCAGAATCCTCCGGTACCATACTAAGGCCGGTTTTCCGGCGAAAGAAACGACGGGACCATCCGCCTTGGCTGCGGGTAGACTTCCCTGCAGACGCAGTGGTAAGCTGCTGCTCCACCTTGATCGCAGCTTGTCGGGCAGCCTCTACTTCAATAATGTGATCGAATCTCCTAGCAAAATAGTGCCTGTAAAATGATGAGTATATCATTGACACACACCATGTAAAATATCGACCTCCTGGTGTACACCATCACCCACGACACTATAACCTTGAGTCAAAGTTAGAGAAGTATCAGATCCTACCTAAAGTTAAGGAACGCACTGGGTTTCCAATACACATCTGGATGAACAGCAACACTTGCTGCCAAGCAGTAAGCTGACTCAAGTTCACAGTCGCCAGCCCACACACGGTGATCGCGCTGACCGAGTTGTATAGCGCATCGATGTATGCAACTGGGTATCTGCCATTACTGGCATAAAAGATTCCGGAGAATATCAGGGGAGTCACAGTACTGAACAACAACGAGAGATGTCGTTAGATTCCGTGATATGGTAGATAGCGGCGTTAATTTTGTAGGCTCACAAGAAGATGACATGTATGCGGAAAAAGTTGAGATGCGTCCTGGTGGTTTGCCACACGCCGTGCTCTGAAAATGATGATGACGAGGCCTGCGTCGGCATTTCCGGCGGAGTCGCGCGTCGCAGGCGAACTTTCTAGGAAGGAGAAAGAGTCTAACTTCGAGTCGACCGGCAATAGAATGTCACAGTCATGGTCAGCAGGTTCTGCCTCACTCGGGAGTCCGCATGCTCCAATAAGCTCATGGCGTACTGATTAGTAAGTGCATTAAGCTGGTACAAAGCTGATAAGTATCTGATATAACTTGATGTACTGCTAGCTGTAGCCTATGCAGTCGTGAACGATGACAAGAAATAAGAGGACAAAAAAAGTGCCGTGCGGCGTACATATATTAATTGCAGAACATCAAGAACGTATCAGAAAACGAAAAAAAAGAAGAATATGCAGGATCCGAAATGCCAGAGGTGAAAGAAAAATGTATCGAAAAACGTGGACGCTGCGTGCGAGTGCAATGGGGCAGATCAAGCAACGAGGGAGACTAGCTTGTGGCTATCCTCGAGCTTAGAAGCAATCCGTCGAAGCCGCTCTGGCTCCTTCTTGAATCCAGCACCCCTGAGCATCACGGCCATACATATAGTCATACGCCTTGGGAGCATCGATAACAATATCGTCCAAAAACTCAGCCATCGGCATGAATCCCTCCTCAAAGACCTCAAGCGAGCACTGTCCATTGCTCGTAGCCTGTGCAAATAAATTGCCCACCAACCTCGCATCCACCTCTTTGCTCTCAAGTGCGGACGCAACCAGCTTGTCCACGAGTCGGAAGCGGTACTCGTGAGGAAGATTGGTAAAGTATACGTCGGCCTCGTCAAGATTACGAAGAGCGAAGAACTCCTTGACGTCTTCATCGATCTTCTTCTTGGCGTCTGCTTCTGACATGGCAGTGGGTGCACTGTCAGGCTCATCCTCCGACGGAGTCGTCGTGTTCTCTTCAGCAGGCTTGGATCGTGGAAGAAGCTACAGTTTTCTGCGTTGTAAAGTGGGCTCAGGAGCACCAGTATGACCAAGATCAACGCTCGGCTTCCGACTCGACGGACGACTGAGCTTGGCAGCAGCCTCAGGCGTGAATTCAGGGTTCTGGCTGAGCATGTGGAACATATTCGACCTCGAATTCGTTCGTGATGGCGTCTCCAGCTTGGTGTCCTTCTTGCCGCCTGCGAAGACGCTACTTGGACCCATGACCATGACTCCCAGAGTGCCCTTGCTGATTTGCCGAACTGTGAGAGATCACCAGCTTTGGGAGGTGCTCGTGGAACAGAGCCGCCTGTAACAGCACTGCGGCTGACCCACTTACGGTCACGCAGCTCAATGACGTCCTAACCCACAGCGATGAGCAAAAAAAACAAAGAAACCTAAATCTTCACACACCTGAAGCATGAACTGCATCCTCGCGCCAACATTAAGGTTCTCCCCCAACATCTTCATGCGCGTGAAATAAACATCCATATGCGCACGCGCCTTCGGAGTATCCAACAACTGCCCAGCCGTCTTCAACAACTGACACAAGCTCTCAATCTCCTCCTCCTCGAAGTTCTCGACGTTGCCCAAGAGCTTCTTCACACAGTCGTGCATAGCACGCTCCGTGAGCATCTGCAGCTTGAACAGCTCGCCCATAAATTTGATGAGACCGAGAACCTAGCGCTTGGGGTTTTCTGAGCAGCGTAGTACTCGTCTGAATAGAGCTCAGCTTCCTCCTTGTCCTTCTTCTTGGTCGCAGCCTTCCTCGGTTGGTCATCAGAAGCCTTTGCTGCAGCAGCAGTAGCTTCCTTGGTGAGCCACCCGCGCTCAAAGTCCTCTTGACACTGGTTAAGAAGATACTTCCGGAAGAGATAGCTACCAGCAATGGGTTTCCCCTCCGTGTTCTTGATCCCATCATCCTGCACCTCCGAACTGATCTGCTCCATCATCTTCCGACACAATCGCGCATACTTCTCGTTCCAAGCAGCTTCATCAATCGCCTGCTCAAACACAAGCCAGATGACTTGGAAGAGCGTTTGTCCGTCTTTCTCGTTCACGCTCTTGTTCGCCCAGTGGATGATCTGATCTGAAAGGGAGTCGAATCTCTCCATCGTAAGCTTGTCAAGCAGCGCCTTGACTTTACGGTCCATCATCTCAGGTGAGTCAGGGTGAGATCGCCATTTGAGGGGAATCCTACTCATGGGGACCCAACGGTTGGCAGACACGTCGAGAGGCTGCGGATTAGCGGCCAACATCGTGATAGGTGCAGTGATTCAAGAGCAGGGCCGTCCATGACTAGATCAATACAGCTCCTTACAACTTGGTGGGCGCAACGGATATTAGAATCGTGACCAGTCCGTCTATGAGCCAAACCGTCCAGAAAGTCTGGTAAATCTGGGTTTGAATTTGGATAGTGCGTGCTTTGGAGCTGTAACGTGACCCATAGCCAATCAAATAACGATACATTTTGAAAAAAAAATTGAAATGATGAAATAAACAATTCTCGATATTGACGCGTTGGCGGTGCCGCACTTATGTATCTGCTCTACAATTGCAATGGACACAATCACCATCATCCATGCTGTGCGAGAAGCATCATTGCAGGGACTATATCCCTTTGCTTGTTCACTGATACAGGAATGACTCCCAAATGAATACATCGAAACTCTCAGTGACAAGGATAGGACAGATGCGCTACCTGAACTGGCGAGGAAAATATATCACAATATATAGTACATAATCACAAAAATCAGCATAATTCTGTTATCGAGCATCACATTGTCATCTTTGCCCTTATATGTATAGGAAAGGAGTTTTCCTGATTTCACTATGAAACTTTAAGGTCAGGAAAGGGTCTCATCATTGCTCAAATTAAAAGTTGAAGGGAAGGTGGAACAAAAGCTACTGGTTAATCTACATGAATCAAAATTGCCACACCAGTGGTGAGGTTCACAATATCCAGGCTAAGACTAAAATTCTGTATCTTTCAGGGAATGAGATCATGTTAACCTCGGTGGGGGACTATATATGTATGTCTGCTATTAAATCTTGATACATCTCCTTGGAAAGCTAATTTTCTGTCACTTTCATGTTAAATTTACATATAAACATGAAAGCCAGTATTCTCCTGACTATGAAAGTATATTCACCCGAGCATTGTGGGGAATGCTCCCACTGTAGGTGTAAAGCCCTGTTGATTCTGCATCAGTTCCGCATATTCCGCATTCCCACGCATCCTTTGGAACATGCCCGCACTATCCGATATTCCCGCACATCATTGGACAACCTTCACATGTCCTGTCCCCATCCTTCCAGGTCCATTGGTACGCTGTATCTCTCTTCCCATTGCTTCTAATGTTATCTGGATCACATTGACACATGCCCTTATGGGCTGGACCCCTATTGTGGAGTATTGCGCCCTTGTGCACTGCCTGCCTTCACTTCTGCTTCCTGAGAATTTACTACCTGTACCTCGGTGTTCCTTGAAAATAATGTTCCCTATAAGTAGTGGTACTCAGGGCTTGGGTTTTTTTTATTGAATCTCATCTCTTACCTTCCGACTTTTCTCCGAATTTTCCTTCACCTTACTAGAGGACCACTTTGACTTATGCTCACTATCAATCTAAACTTGTGATATACTTCCTTTGACTTGATCCGCAAGTTCCGACAAACCTGTACGTTCCACATTTTATCTGTTTGAGTTCCACTTCGTTCTGCTTGAGTTCTGCTTGTTCCGCATTTTTGTGGATCCTCATCCTACCTGCAGTAGGGTTGATTAGGGTCATTTAGACAGAGACTAGTACTCCCCAGTAGTACTCCCCTTTAGGGTCGAATGTGCTTGTTCTCAAGGGAGGCAGCAGGCAGCAAAGACCCAACTTTGTAGTAGATCAATTTCTCGGTGCTACACTTGTTGTACCCACAACATGCGACCACAAAAATTCCTTTGTGCTTCAACTTTGAATGCCATCAATTTTGTTATTCCAATGTTTGTCAGTTATGTATCAATTTGGAATGTGTGTGAATAAGCTATACCTTTCTGTGGCAGCTAGGTTATGTCCAACAAGTGGCTGACAACCAAGCTTCACAGTCATGGTGGAGGATCATCCCTCACTTAGACACCCTGCTTGCTGCTCAAGGATATTGTGCTATACTATGTCATGGATCATTTTGAGGCTGTAGCTCTGCACAGATGTTACATGCTTATTGCACTGCAACTAGGTAATGACACAGGTATACCCGTGGGTGTTGTTAAGGTCGTGCTCAAGGGAAGAGTAACTCAAAGGGCTTGGCTTCAGCTCGTGCATTGTGCCCCTTACCCGAGTACGTGCCCTTAATTTCCAAGGGGCAGAAGGGAAGTCTAGGTAAGTCTGGAGGTCAGGCACAGAGAGAGTTTGGCAGAACTCCAGAAGGCTAGGAGTAAGTAGAGTAAGGCTACTTTGGACAAGTCTGGAGTAGAAATGGAACAGAGATAGACTACCCTAAGGTAGAACTGGAGATATAGTCTTAAGGAATAAACCCAAGACTCAGAGGTGGACAAGAGATCAGACTCAAGTCCGGAGAAACAGGAATAAGCAGGAACTAAGATGATATTTGAACTGAGGAGGTATGGAGTTTTACAGGAGTTTGTATACTGTAGATATCATGTAAGTAATCAGTCAGCAAAGTAAAAGCTATGCCCAAAGCATATAGAAAATCTATTAGTAAGTGTACAACAGATCAAAGAAATGAAGTTGGAAATGAAGTGCAGATGGATGGATCAGTAAGCAAGGCAGAAAGGTGTACGAACAGTAGCCAGAGAGCAGTAATCTAAAAGGAGATAGGTGTGAGTCCAGAGATGAAAACGGAGTGCTGGACAGAGAACAGGACAAAAACCTGGACTTTCATAAGAGAGAGTCTGGAATTCCGGGTATGGAGGTATGGGATATGACAGCCATACTGGATGGGGCACTTGTGACAACCACTGTCACCAAAGCTCTTCATTGGTGCTACAGTGCTAAACTCATCAATTTGAGGGGCAGGATCACCAAGAGCAGTCTTTGGGCATGACAGAATGGGAGGGCTACTCATGAGAGGAGAGTTACACTTGGAAGGGGAACTACTAGGTGAAATAGATGTAGGAGGTGTAGATACCAACCTGCAAAATACAGCAAGTAGAGGTACAGTGTCTGTTATTGGGTCAACAAACCTGGACTCATGAGAACTGCTTCTTGATTCTGAAGAGCTACTCATCATGAATGCTGGCTAATGGTGTATTGGGCTGTGAGAACTTCAACCAACCTAGGAAGAGGGATTGGATATTGAATAGTTGGCAACACCTGAATGTGGACTTCTTCCCACATGAGAAGCAGTTACTTAGCACTGATTATCAGAATCTCATTATCATCAGAGTCAAGTATTAAGTAGGTACTCAGCTATTATAAGAGTCCTTGCCAGGAAAGGATATGTTTATCCTGAACAACTTCTTGAAGTTTAGGCTCAGCCAAGCGAAAGTAGAGGCCTTGAAAGTGTGGGACTTGTTCATCTACTGGTATATGATTATGTTTGAAGGAAGGATATACAAAGTCATTTAATGACTACTTTGCAATTGCCAGAATCTACAAACTGTGGGAGGGTCAGACTCAGAACATGATGGTGATCACTCACACCAATCTTCCAATGAGCCCCGCTTCATCTTACCAGTAACCAATACTATGGGAATGGTCACAGTGAGTCATTCCATGGCATGATGGAATAAATCTAGAGGAAGTCACCTGTACTGGCCTCAAGTCAGATCATGAAATATGTGCATTGCAGTTTTGGGAAGTTCAAGTTGATTTGGGAGTGCTGAAACCATTAAGTTTGGGGTATTGCAACTCTTTGAGTCGGGACTATTGTGAAATTGTTCCTCAGGAAACATGACAGCTACATGATTCTCTGAGGCTGACTCAGAAATGCCAGTGGTGATGTGGTGCCTTCAATTTGGATTGGCCTAGGCAAGATTCGGAACATCATAGCCTGAGTGTTACCTACTAACTGTGGCAGTACAAAAGAAGTAAGTCTCAGTGAGCTCTATGATGATACTTACTGAAATTGGACCATAGCTGCATCTACTAGTACTATTACCAACTTTGAAGAACTGTGAATAGCATTGCATCTCAAAGACTTGAACGACCACCATTGCCTTGGAATTAAAGCTAGCCGCAAAGTTGCTAGCAACCCCAAAGTGCAATGCATCTAGGTCTCGTAGGATCTCTTTGGATTGTTGCCCTCCTTTCAAGCTTGTTTCTATTCATGATGTTGTGCAGTGCTGCAGGTTGCTCTTGGGAGAGGGCAACAGATGTATGTTGGAGTGGCCAGATCTGCAGTCTTATGAAGGCTAAGCACAACCTTTGTTTGTTGTGTTTGTTCTATGTGTTTGCTTGTTACTATCCTCACTCAGACCCCAGAACCCCAGCTCAACTCCTGGCACCCTATCCCATGACTCGACCCTTGCCACCTGCCACCTGTACCTGTGTTCATCTTGAGTCCCTGCAGGACTCCCCACTACATATGCCCCCCTCCAAGTGCACACCTCCAGGGGTGTACCTATGGATAATCTAATCCAGGTCTTTTGTCCTCTATGTTGTCCTCTTCTTTGTCACTTCTGAGTACTTCACCCAGTTCTAGTTCTTCTCCTGTCTCCTGCTCTAGCAAGTCATCTTCATTGACATCATTCCTGAGCATGGCTTGCATAAAAAGTGCTGTGCCATCTCATGGAATGAAATGGCAAAGTTGTTGGGCATGGAAGAGCCCCTGGAGAGGAAATCCTTTGAGGTTGGTGAGGGTATATGAGTTCCCTATTCTGGATACAATATGTCATAGGGCTGACCATTGCAGTTGCAGTTTCCTTGACAATGCCATGATTATGTTTAACGAGTTAGTGTAGACTTGAACTAATTGATCTGGCTTGAAAAGAACTTCACCTATAATTGATTTGAGGACCTGTCTATCAAAGGTGGCTTTGCATTTAGCTGTGTACATGGTAGCGTGATCTGCACCATTGAGGCACTGTTGGTCTACATAGGCCATGTGAACATCAACTTCTGTGGTTGAAGGGATTTTGATAGCAATGGTTGCTGGAGTAGGGATGGTATTGACAATGAGGCCAAGGATGAGTTCCTTTGGGGAGAATTGGAAGGCAGGTATGATGTGCTTGTTGAGTTGATGTATAGTGGTATCAAAGTGATCTGGCCATGATCAAGGTAGGTCTTCTGTTTTCATGCTATCATACTTGTCCTCTCTGAGTCCCAGGCTGCATAGCCATTTTAACTGTCCCAGCAGTTTCCCATTTGCATTCTCAACAAGTCCATTGACCCATGGTGAGTATGCTGCGACAATGTGATAGTTGGTGTCATGCATTGTGCACCAT